ATTTGTATCTGTTTGGACATTCAAGGGAAACTTACAAGGGCGTCAGCATTATTTTTCGATTATTTTAGAATTTTTCTGACTCTTCTCTCCGTCACATCTTTGTATCCGAAAGACTCAGATTTCCTTTTTGTTCGAATGATAACTAAACCTGGGGAGTAAAATGTGACAGTTTTAATAACTTCAGAAAATCGTAGGGAATTTAAAAGAAAATATTTGAAAATCGTACACAAATGAAACCCTTAAGAACATCTAAACATTTTTAGACGTCAGCAAGATATTGCTGGTTCAAGAAATGCAAATGCAAATGCAAATGTCGCGATTGAGAGGACAAACATACATGTCCTCTTTACATAGCTTTTTGCAGTGGGCTCGGACATCAGCATACTAAGGGCGCCGATGGCAGCCGCTATCAGTCCATTTATGAGCCCACTGAACCCTCCCAACCCATGATGAGTGATGATGTAAGTGATGAAGATAGACCACAACACCGGGAACTACATCCCCTACTCTTTTCGAATAGTGTGTGGGTTCTTTAACGTCCCACAGAGTTATATGTGAACAAGGTTTGTGAGACGGGACCTCCGGTTTATCGTCCTTATCCGAGAAGACTTGAAAGTCTAATCATTTGCAGATGTCATTACAAAGACAGCACTTTCTCCTCAGTTATTTTTAAGACCCTGAGTGTTGGTCCGGCCAGGATTCGAACTCGCGACCTCCCGCTCAGCAGACCCGCGCTATCCCAACTGAGCTAACCGGGCGGCAAATTGAATAAAAAGCGGTCAATATATTAAGTCCAGAACCTGGCAAATCAAAGGAGGTTAATATGCAAAGATTCTCGCCAAGACTTAGGTCAATGCAATTTTTCATGTGCGAGATAATGTATGGAGCTTTTTATGGAGCCGCCATGCATGTGGTTGTCAAAACCAACAATTATCTCAGTGGGTCGTGGCATCGGCTGGAAGTTTGTTACCGAATTTTTTATTTTGACCTTCCCCATTGCAATAGATAGATTCAGCGTCAACTTTGCGATGAATCTCTTGTAAAGAGCACTAAGTGAGTTATTCAACTGTTTCTGATGAACGGTTGATAACGAGACGGACTTCATTATAAACGTCTGCAAACTATTTTCTTTCGAGATTTTTTTCTACGAGCTAGCGTTATCAAAAGGACAAAGGAAGAAAAAAAAGATGAAAGATCGTGGCGATACACATCAGCTAGGTTATGGAACTCATTATAAGATGATTATAACAGTTTCAACTTATGAATCTTTCAAAAACAGAAACAGAAAACTAGATCTCTCCCGACTGTAAATTCAGCAACCTGCATTATCATTACAAAACCGATTTAATAAAGTATCATTTCTAAGATGTATTATGAGGCTTATCATTTTATCCCTAATTTTTTTCCCAATATCTAAGATTTTTAGCAAAGGTAATTATTTCTAATCTTTTTTAAATTTCCTTTTAATTGCTAGTTTTCCTGTAAAAGAGCTTTTTATCTTAGTGTCAATTCACATTAATAAACTGTTATGTTATGTTACATTAAAATAAAATAATATGAAATAAAATAAAAAATTCAAGCAGCCTACGTGCATATGTTGCCCTATAATACACCGGTGTGACTTAGGCTGCAAGCTTTATAGGCATAATGAAATCGGTAAGACCACTGGAATCAGATTCAGTATTTGTTTGGGGCTATTTCAGGATCTGTTTCCTAACAAGCGTCGAAAGGCTTTTCAGTTTTGGAGCAAAAGGACAAACATGGAAGGCAAGACTGGTACCAGTCGAAGAGCTGTTATTCCGTGAATCTGATAAGCTAGGGCAGCCGACAGTTATGGTCACTAGCACTCTGTTCTGGCATCACTTGTTTTCGTATTCGAAGTTTTGGAGGAAATTAAGTGAACGACTAACAGATTAAGCTAATGAGATATGGACGGATAATGAAACCGCTAATTGCCCGATCGTGTGAAGGCGACTGTTTAAAAATACATTTAAATACATCTAACCCGTAGTTCGAGGAGGCCTAACCTCTCATAAGCTCCTATAGTTTCTGTTAGGTCTCCTCACCACTTCTTTTGTTCTCTCTTTTCCTTTATTTTTTGTAATTATTGTGTGGCAAATAAAATAAAATAAATACTGAAATAAATAGGCAGAGAAGTGGTTTTTATTTTTCCGACGAGGCCCAGATCTAGATTGCTGCGATGACCAGCTAACATCCCAGACACAAGAATAGTAAATGACTTTTTTGTTTAGTATTCCATTGTCTGTGATTTTCCCCCTACACATGAAAACCGGGCTGACACCAGCTAGCAGTTTACAGAATCACGTTTATTTTCCATTTCCGACCATAATAGAGAGATTTTTGCCCTGTTTGCACTTCGACGAAAAATAGAGTTTGGCGTCAGCAAAACTGATTTGAAAATTTAAATGTGTAATCTCCTATTTTCGTTTTCATTAATCAATATTTATCCAGGGGCATCCAATGTAGCAGAGATAGTTTAAGTGAAGCCCTGACACAAAACAAAAACATTGAAACTAGAAAATTAAGTTACAAAGGCACATGTACCGCAGGCGTTACTTCAGGTTGATTGTAAATTCGCTTAGCGTCTCTACTTGTCTAATGTTGTTGTAGGTCCGAGCACCTCTTATTCTGAAGCTCCCTTTGCAAAAACTACTAAATACCAACGTAGGGCGCAGCAAATCACGGCTTCTGGTGTTACAGCCTTGGAAAAGGTGCGCGTGCCTAAACTCTGAAAGTAAGTACGAAGGCGCTATTCCGTGAAGACACTTATGGACTAAGACGCATTTGAGATCATTTCTGCGTGCTTGTAGGCTGGGCCAGCCAAGTGTTGATTTTAACTCTTCGGCCCTGATAGATCGAACTTCAATAATATTGCGGCGCGTCTAGCTATGTTTCGGGTTCAAGCCTGACATACTGTGATGGTTTCTTTGCTGTACTTCCAACTTTTATTTGCTACTTTACATTATAGACTTTTTCAAGCATTTCAAGTGAAAATAAAAACTTGATTTTGGGGTTAGCTCTAATCACAACCTGTGATGAATGAGCTATCAAAAGCAGTTGGAGTGAGCGTTAATTTTGCTTTTAATATCTTATTTAGGGATTTCTTTCATACCAGTCTCTGTTATAAGGAGGTTTATCAACTTGTAATCTTTGTTTTCATTCAGCCCTGGAACCGGTAGTTATTACTCAGTGTCAAAACAAATCATAGTACGATCCTCAATTATATATTTTGGCGGAAGGAGAGAAGATTGTTTTCTTAGCTATTGCTTGGTAAAGACAGTTGAGATAGCCTTCTTGCAAGCTTTGTTGAGACATAATAATTCAATTAAGACCACTAGGCTCCCGAATCAGTCTTCTAACACTGGCATTTTTATATGAGAAGACATTCGTTTCCTGTTGCCCGACGAAACAAAGCTTTACAAAAAAGGACAGTTTCAGAGGAAAAGGACAATAAATTGACCGGTACCAGTAAAACAGCCACTTGAATTATTTTGTTATGGTCATTGCGCTATGAATCTGATGAAAAAGGCTTTAAACTTAAATGGTCACTAGCACTTTGTTCTGGTATCACCTGTTTTCTGATTCGAATGAATTATTGACGGAAGTAATAAAGTGAACAACTAACAGGTTAAAGTGATGAGATTTGGCCGGATATGGAAACGGCTAAATAGCATGTACCACCCCGAACGTGCGTGGGATACAACTGATCGAGAATAAATCGGGAAAATAGGTGAATCGTATTTGTAGGACGCACGCCAGATTGATGCGATGGTGATCATTCCAGACAAAAAAAAATCACATTCACATTGGGAGTTTTTGACAATCACTCAAATATTGTTACTTGGTACCAGTTCTTTAATTGCTCGACTCTCCTTTCTCTCCCCTATTGCAAATTGAGATGATTCGGCCGAAAACGGTCTTATGTCTTTCTTGATTGGAAAACAGTAAAAATTTCTTTTTGTTTGTGATTTTTCCGACATGTGAAAATCAGGTTGGTACCAGTTAACAGAACCACGTTCATTTGCCATTTCCGTCCTAATGGCCCTTCTCATGCACGTTACGAATCGCATAATGGTGTGATTTTGAAATACTTTTACGGGTAAGTGCTAACGACTGCTTCAATCCACAAATTAGCATGTTAGAAATGAAGATGGGGAAGGATAAAAATCTTTCAGCTAATTATAGGGAAAGAGAAAACAGAAAACTAACAAAAATAAGCTACTTGTAATATTAAAAACCAAAATACAAGACTATCTCTATAAAAAAGACAGAACAAAACAAAACAAAAAACATGAACGTCGTTCAAGACATATAGAACCTTACATTAGGAGACTGTGATAGCCACTTCTTTATTTGAAACTTGTCAGTGACGACCACTCCACTATAACTCAAGTTCTTTCTAAATTGTTCAGTGCGGCACGGCCAGTTTCTTCGGCGTATTCCTTAACATTTAACCATTTGAATGAGAGCTAAAAGCAGTACCTTTCTGAGGGAGATATTTACTAAGCTGTACAAGGTGGCTGTTATGTTGATGATATATTTTTTTTGAATTGACCATTCAATAGTTGTTAAGCCATGTCTTTAATAGCGTGGAATATCAGAGCGAACACCTACTATATAAGTGATCAACGAGGTTTTACACATATTAGACTAAGCGCTGAGATTTTCTTCCGCTTTCGGGTAACACAAAATATATTCTTTGTATCCAAGTCACACTTATTAGAGTACGTACGTTTTTTGACTCTCGTTTGATTGAAAATTATGGAAGTTTATACTAAAGAATTTGACTTTTACATCCGTAGACAAAAGCCGTGAGTATCATTATTAAAATAACACATTTCCAGCCAGACCTTCGAGTGCAGTTACCATATATTATCAGTATGTTACAACATGAAATTCAGGATTTGTTTGAGAATTTTAATTCATTTTAATTCATCTTTCATGGCAACAGAATCATTCGCTACTTCTTCGAGGTCGACAGCAGAATCCGACGGTAACGTCATCTCCGATGGCGCTTTGATACACGTAGAAGAGAACGCAATAGACGCCTCGTGGAAGGACGTGTTTCCTGACAACTCAGACATGGACGATATACTAGTGTCAGATACACTTGTATCATTTAGCATGGCATCGTTTAGACTTTTGTCATTAGCTCCGACAACCGTTTGAGGTGTATTGGCGGTATCCGTTCCACTGCTTGATGTACTGCCTCGTTCCTTAGGGCTGTCCTCCAGGGAAATGATATCTTGTTTTTCGGCGCTTTCTTCTGTTTCTCCATTACCGGAATGGTTTGAAGATTCACCTACGATAAATGGGAGAATACAAGCAAACATGTATTGGTGCGTTTGCGATTAACCAGGGGCACCCAACGAGAATATAGTTCAAAACCACTTAAACATAGCATTGTTAAAAGTATTTTAGTATTTAAACGGTAGATATAGGCATATTTTCATCCCCTAAAAATTTTTCATCTGCTCGGACAGATATTTTCCGAAAATTGACGTTGGGTGCCCCTGATTAACTAAAAATTCGATCCAAGTATGAACCAATGAGAAGCAAAAGAGTCAAACCAAAGCCCAGGTTGTTAACTATTTACATGGGCGAACCGATTTATGGTTAAATGGTAAGAAAAAATTCAGCACTAGTGAATTCGTGTTTACCATTTGCAAAATAAGTCCCTTTTACCAAGAAACGGCCGCAAAAGCCTGAAACTGGTATCAAAGATGCCATGGGTTTTATAAATTTTCTTTTGGAATATTCCGTCCGGAAAAACAGGCCCTTTTAGATGTTCCGTTGCTCCTCGAAATTTTCCTTTGAAACGACACGTAAACGGAGACATTTTGTAAATGGTAAACAACCAAACAGTCAATTGCATGCAAGTGTATTCCCGCGCAAAAGCTCAAAGCAAAGGTAGCAGTGACCTATGTACGCGAGCATATTTCCGCGCAAAACCTTAATGAAGCCAAAGACGAAACTAAAATTTAACACTCACAAACAAAACACGTGTACTTACCATTCATACTGCTAAACTCCAGCGAGGAGACCTTGCTAGCGGGCGTATCTTTGCTGCCTGACAGTTCAGTAGTACCAGCTGTTTCAGAGTCAGTCAAAGAAGACGTTGTTCTTGTTCTTTCAGTTGATGTTACTGTCCGCTGCCACGATGGAATGCTGGGAGGTGCTGGGGTAGAGCCGATCATGGGGGACGGGAACTGTTTTCTGTGTAAAACACAATGAGGACAATAAAGAAGTCCTCAAATCTAAACTTAGTCTTAAGCCTGCGATCAATTAAAAGCTAACAACTGGCCAACGGAAACCTTAAAAAAACACGTGACCTCGATGAGTTGGCATTTGAACCCCTGATACGGTCATGTGACCATGGTCAGCGATACTCTTTTTGACAGCTGTCAATTGACCAAAATATGGATGTCCATTATCGAGTTAAACACAGGTAACAGGTTCCCACACTAACTAGTAAGTTTGTCATTTTACATTGGTTTCCCTGTGGTGCAAACTGGCGAGCGCATGGTGACGTGGTTACCAAAATTTCTTATATGGATAGATCACCACATTTTCTTAGGTATGGGGTTCCGTTCGACGTAACTCATATGGGACACCTAATGATTAGCACAAAACCCAATACGAAGAACCAGTTACTAGGCAGATTTACGTAGAAAACAGAAAAAAAATCAGAGAGACACTTTAAGCGCCACATATAGAAAAACAGTTGACTATAGGGTTAGTCATCGGGCTAAGGGCCAGCACTGAACTTTGAAACGGTTAACTTTCAAATAATGTAATGGGCAATACCATGTGAACAGCCTTAAAAATAAGCGGCGTGGGCAGTTGGCCCTTGATGGCGTAGTGGATAAGGATGTAGATTGTGAATGAAAAGTTTCGGGTTTAAGCCTGACATACTTTGTTTTTTTCCTTTTACTTCCACCTTTTATTTGCTACTTTACATTACAGACTTTTTCAGGCATTTCAAGAGACAATTAAAGCCTGATTTAATTTTGGGGTTAGCTCTATTCTAGTCACAACCAGTGGTGAATAGTTTTGCGGGATTTGAACGCGAACGAAAATTGGAACGTTTGTTTACGGTCGTTTCGATACAAGTTTTTTTAGTTTACGTGTAAATAGTTCGACGTACTCGGCTTAAAGAACAAAGAATATTCACCAAAAATGTTTTTCATGTTCACCCGAAAACTTTAAAACTTGAATTGATCGAATTTCTTGTACAATATCACTGCTTGAGTTCGTATCGAAACGACTTTGTATCGAAACGTCACAACTCCGGAACGTTAAGCCGTCCACGTTCAGTAGCTCTTACGCCGGACGCAAACCATACCGAATAGGTATTCACATGATGATCATAGCGGAAGTAAATTAGAATGAGCGAGAACTGAAACCCACTAAGAAGGACATAAATAATCAGGAATGAGGACTGGGATCTAGTGAACCAAGCCCTCTCCGCCACCCACTCAGCCAGGATTTTCGCTGTATGTGAGCAACTTGTTCCAGTTCTTTTTTTCGATCACAACAACAACGTAGAGTTTGTTGATCTTCTTTACAAGTTACAAATTACAAATTAAATCAAATTAAAACAAATATAGAAACACAAACATCCCCTGCTCGCAAATACTGTATGTACAGCTCTACTTTCATATTTACCTGTTTAATAGAAGTCCTTTGAGTGAAAGTATTTCGCCCTTTAAATCGCCAACAGTGTAGCTCTCAGATGGTAACAAGGCAACCTTTGACTATGACAAGAACAGATTCAATAGAAAAAAATGTATAATGCGGTATTTGCTTCAAAAGGACTAGGTATCTGTTGTTATTAGGTGTGCAGAGCAGAAGAGGGTCGTAGATTGACGTTTTTTCTGTTTACTTATTTATGATTTTATCTAATGATGATGATGATGATAATGCAGAAGAGAAACAGGAGGAGGACGCTTGGAGGAGTAAAATGACAAATTCCATTTTGTAATACACCAAGGAAAAAGAAAGCATCGGTGTCGGCAGTGTCCCTCAAAATCCCAAGAAATTTCCGAAGCTTAGGACACTTACACTCCCTCTTACAAAGTGTCAACATAGTGTGCTGCTACTACTAATATGAGTAGCAGTCTCCATAAGAGGGCTCCATGCATGCAAAAATGTCATCTGGTCCACTCATCTTCTTTGTGCTGTGCAATTGTTTTGTGAAAAAGGATTCACTTGAATAGCAACACCATAGGATTACAAGTTATGGTGATGTTACACAAGACGATTCACAACGACGATTTTTAGCGCAATGCAGCATTGCAACATTGCTGCGACATTGTTTTGAATGGTTACAACATTGTTCCAACATTCTAACGCTGTGTTGCGCTAAAACTAGTTGTTGCTAACCATCTCGCATAACATCACCTTTAGTCTAGGAGTGAAAAGGTTGAGTTGCAACCCCCACTTTCGCCCCTTGACATGTACCTGTGTAGAAGCTAGGTCAAGAGCCAAACTGTGAAGTTTGTTCTGCTGCTGTTCCAACAGACCCTATGAAAAACAAATGGACATCTAATCTATGCCACTATTGACACTATTGTGTACTCAAGGAAAAACAAAACATTGCAGGAAGTACCATCACTCACCTGAACAGAATCTAAGCTTTTTTGAACTAAAAATAAGACAACAAATTAAAGAGTGGTTAGTTTTGTTCTTTTATCATCATTATTATTATTATAAATTATTATTATCATTATTATGCCCTCGCATGTTGTTCGCAGTCGGTTGTTGAAATTATTATTTGCATTGTTTAACAGTCATGAGAAAATTGACAGCAAATGAAATACCCTATTGTGCTTTTACAAGTTTGAAATTCTTAAACATGTTCTTTGGACATTAAGTTGAAATTTGAAACTTGCAGGTGATCAAAGTTGCAGATACTGAAAACAAAATCTTAGTGTTATTTTAAGATACCATCTGTTTGTGCAATTTTTGCTGGGTGGATCTTGTTTTTAAAAGGTAATAAAGTGTAATAAACAATTAAAATTCATGATTCCTATCTTTTATCGGCTACATGTAAGGTACATAATAATGTACATGTAAGAAGGTAAAAGCACACATGAGCCAAAGCTGGAGCTTATCCCGGTTTCCGTAGCAGGTAGCATGCCTAAGAGTATTGCTACTCCGTCCCACCCCCCTGGACGCGATGCTAGTCCATGGCGGGGTTATACCCAGCAGTGTGTGTCACCAGTACCCACTAATTAATTTTTATACACCTGGGTGAAGGCGGCGGAGACAAAGTGGAGTAAAATTCCTTGTCTAAGAAAACAACACAGCCACACACACCCCACTCACTCAGCCACACACACCCCTACAAGGCCTACAGGTGCGGCCATTATTTACCTGTGTCAGCTATGTTTCCCTTGAGATCTGTGACAGCTGTTTCAATCATCTCTAGTTTCTCCTCTTCCCTACTTTTCTTATCATAAATGTATGGCAATATAAATGTCTAAAAAGGGAAAATAACAAACCTTTTATTTAATGTTTACATGTGACTGTGATCAAAAAAGTAGTCAGAAATAAATGAACTTATCTGGCATCAGGGCAGTTGGCAGTTGTTAAGTGATACTAGTAACAAGTGCAGATCATAAACATTAAAATGGTGCTTAAAGAATATTTAAATACAAATAGAAATGAACTCACTGCCAGCTATTAAAGAGAAAAAGGTAGTGAGACATTAGAGGACACTACAGGAAGTATGTTGTGTAACTGATAATGCAATGTGGTGAATATTACACACGCTGTGATTGGTCACTGCCCATAATCTATTGGAATACAGACACTTGGATGAAAAAAGATCAGTGACACATTCACCTGTGGCTCATGTGCCACTTTTTTTTTCTTTTTACAACATTTAGACTCTGTGCTAAGCAGATGCAGGGCAACATGAAATCATTTAGTTAAAACAAAAAGCCTCAAAGAAGCTACATGTAGTGTGTACAAGATGGCACAGCATTCCACACAATACCTAAACATCGCCTATTTTCTTATTAATCAATATTAAAGCCACAGCATGTTCAATATCCTCTGCTTGCACTGTCCTGCATTAAAGTACATCATGTGAAGTACATTATAGTGTACCATAAGATGGTGAGCCACAGTAAGCCCATCTTATTTTGCCGTGGTAGGGTTAGGGGTGTTCGTAAAGTGCCATTCTGAAGAGCAGGAGAGCCTGAGTTCAATTCCCAGGGGTTGGATCAATACCCAGGGTCTTAAAATGACTGAGAAATAGGAACATGTACATAAAAGCCTCTGCCCTGCAAATGTCTCGACCTTCACATGGCTCTGAAAAGCAGATAGAAATGGTGGTCTCGTCTTAAGGCGGGGGTGACTAGTGCTTGTGCACAGCACAGCAAATTTGTGCTAAAAATATCTTAACAATTTTAAATAAGGCAAGTTTAACATGTATACAGTTGTACAGTGTATTGTACTTTTACTTTTTTTACCTTGAAAAGATGAGCCAGAGTATATCCAATTCCTCCTCCTAATATAGCAGCTCCTACATAGCTTCTCCATGGAACAGGTTGTTGGGGTGGTATATAACTAGCAGGAAAACAGAAAAGCATACATGTAACGTTAAAGTGACCCAAAAGATTTTGTTTTTTAAACATTTCAGGACTTATATCTAAAAAGAAGGGAGGGTTTGGTGAAGACCATCTTGGAGGAAAAAATTTAAAATGAAGAAGAGCTCTTCTACTTTTCCCATTCGCTTTTTTTCTGTTCTCTGTACACTCTTTCTTTCTATTATCAACCTACACTGTTTTCTCTTCTCTTCCTCGAGAACGACTAAGAAGGCAATGAGAAAGGGACATACACAACAATTTTTACCAGCTACAAGACATGTTGGAATACTAGGACTTGAAAGATTCCGTGGAATAACCAGTTAGAGAGAGATCTTTGTAACTTTGTTCTGGGCTTCTGATAATTCGCGGAAGAAAAACTCAAATTTCACGGGATTTTTAGGAACAAATTCGAGGAAAAATCGGCCAATTTCGCGGTAATTTCGCGGGAGTTTTCGGGGCAAACTACACCAAAAGGCAATCGGTAAAAAACGGCCGATTTTGTGGTTCTTTTCAAGGTAAATTTTGCTAAAAATCAATCGGTTTTGCACTGATCAGACCAGCGTTTTTTAACGTTTTTCTAACAGAGATCATCATTTGCTCTTTCAACAACAATACGCTCCAGAAATCATGGCTAGTGCCCAGTTTTTCGCAACATAATCTACTCCTAGTAGTTTCGGGATGTTGTTCGCACATTTCAGTGACGAAGTTCTAAGATAAATTTGCAAGTTTACGGCAAGTAAATAGCCCCAATAGCTGAAATAAGTTTCAAATATGTTGTACAGACATGTGTTTGATAAGATTTCTACCGAATTTTGCGGGATTTTGCGGATTTACCGGAATTTCGCGGCTCCGCGACCACGTGAAATATCAGAAGCCCTGTTTGTTACAGGTCAAAATTCTAGTCAAGTTAAAATTTTTTTAACCTGGGTTGATTCTCAACTTCCCTTGTCTGCTAGGCCTAATTCACGAATATTTAGGATCAGGAGACAAAGGAACTGGAGAATCAGCGTAGGTTAAAAAATTTTCACCTGAATTTAATTTTGACCTGCAACAACATTCCAAGTAACAACTACCATTTTACTCTTCAGACTTGACACATCACATTTTACACAGAGGCAACCCACCAGGGTTTTTTTTTGTGCTTTTGTCTTGAACAGTTTACTTTCACAATACCCAAAACCGAATATTGGGTTTTGGGAGGATAAAGTATTTTTTATCCTCTTCTTGCAAAGGGTTTTGTAGGGATAGAGATTAACAAAATCAAAAACAAAAATTCCTTCTGAAACTAAATGGGTTTAAAAATCCCAGCTGGAAGCAGGAAGATTAGAATAACAATTTTATAGTAGTGGTTTATTTTTTTTCTATTGAACAGAAGCAATTCCACTTTCTTAATGCCCGAAGAAGGAACTGAACCCAGGAAATCCAGATTTTATTTCCAGTCTGACCACTTGTCATACTATGGGTTGTATTATCCTGTAATAATTAATGTACATGTACATTTGTAATAGATCATTAGTTCAAGCAATATTGTTTGAAAATTGATGCTAACAGTAAAAAGTAAGTTTAAAAAAAATCAAGCCTGCTTAACTAAACAAGCAATCATAAAACATTTTTTTCATACCTTGCAATTTGTCGGTTTCTACCCTCCCCTTGTGGGGGGACTGGGGGAGAGATAGGTTCAGGATTCTGAAGCAAGAAATAAAAAATCATGTTTGTATATCGTATTATTAATTATTTGAGGGAGGTGATTAATCAAGGCACAGTTATGCTCAAGCAAATGCGTCAAATGACTAAATCCATTAGGACCCATACATGTAGCCATCGTCTGGTCACAAACATTCATGGGTTCATGCTCAAATGTTGAATTTGCAGTTAACAGCTATGCTTACTTGTGTTGTTTTTTAGGTGAAAATAATTCTGCATAGTTGGCTTTTAGAACAAGGAATATTCACACAATAGTGAATATAGCTTCTTGTTCACGTGCTAAATATAATAAAATTTAAGTGACCAAAATTGTTGTTCAGTTTCACTGCTAAGTTTGTATTAAATCGAAATGACCAGTTTCTATCCAGCACTAACCTCATTTAATGGTGTGCCAGATATTCTGATAGCCTCTTCAATTTCATCTTTCTTTAAACCTGCGATTTAATTCACACATCTTTTAAACTGAAAAGGTGCATGCAGCAAAAATGCCAGCAAAAGAAGATAGATTGCCCTTATAACAGCTCGAGCGCAGGGGAACTGTTCATGAAGTTTCGTTCTCCTAAATTCATTTATTCTCTTTTCTTTCTAAACAGTGGTGAGTTGATCTAGGAAGATCAAAAGGCCTCTGCTTACAAGGTAAGTTATCAAAGATCGAAGTCTAAACGTTTAACGTTTAGACTTTGGACACTGTAAATAATTTTCTAGTTCAGCGTTCCTACATTAATTTTAAACTTATGTTGCTTAACGATTCAATGTATACCTTTCTTTTCGAGAAAAGCTCTTCTTCGCGATAAAGGTGTCTGCTGTACTTTTGGATTTTTCAAAAACTTGACGGCGGTATCGATCTATAAGCAGAAAGGACCAAAGTGTTTAAGTCGAATTGTTTAACAACACACACTATAAATCTGTGTCAAGAGAGATCTCACCCTTTTCTGGCGAAGCTCTTTCTCTTTTTCTCTTGCAGCATCATCGAGCTTTAAAGGAAAGGAATTAAAACTTAGGGATTTCACAACATTATTGCAAAATAGTACAAAACACAAGCCAAACCTCTTCTCTGGAAGCCATATTGCTTCTCTGTGTTGAAGCCTATTCTAAGCGAAACATTGATTGGTGGAATCTGCTAACTCTTCACCAATCCAAACACTTGTAATAAAAACACGACGACAGTCTTCTGACCAGCGGTTTGTGCACGTGGTTCAAAATTCAAGATGGCGGATTCCACTAAGAAGAAGAAGAAGAGGCAAGTTCAAGTTTTTGACTTGTTTTGAAAGTAAAGATCGTCAAACTATTCATTTTTTTCTTCACAGGAGATTGTGTGACATGGACGCAGATGCGTTTATGATGCATGAGTTTGATTCTGACCTTTACGTTTACCTTTAGGTAAAGGTCAGAATCAAACCCATGCATCATAAAGTTTTTGAGTTGTTTTGAAAGTAAAGATCGTCAAACTGTTTATTTTTTCTTCACAGAAGATTGTGTGACATGGACACAGATGAGTTTATGATGCATGGGTTTGATTCTGATGTTTCCGTTGGGGACGATGGGCAAGAAAACGAAGAAGATTGTTCTACTGCAGTTGTCCAAACGTCTTCCAATCAAAAGAAGAAGTACGCTACGCCTAACCTATATTTTTGTCATAAAAGATTTGATAAAATTCTCCTGCTTAAAATAGGTGTTTTAGTTGACTTGTAAAATGTTTTAGTTAATTTTTTATCTCAGGTAATTTTTCTTTTCTTTAATTTTTGGGCATGGTAATGTATCAGCTAATGAAGTTAAAACAAAAAATTACCCTAGATTAAAAAAAAGCCAGCTTTGGGAGATGCCTAACAGTGTCAAGAGGAACAAATAAGCAAGCAGATAAATGTTATTTAAAATTATAGCCGACAAGTGAAGCCATTTAATGTTTAATTTGTGTCAGATTTTAGTAGCTCAGTAATTCATCTTGAAACTTTGTTTCCAGAAAATCCAAAAGTGCACATCACAAAGATCAGCTAGCTAGATTACAAGAAAAGGATCCTGAGTTTTACAAGTTCTTAAAAGAAAATGATAAAGAGTTGCTGGATTTTAATGACTCAGATACTGGCTCTGAGGCAGACTTTGAGCAGGAAGATGATGACCTTCATAGTGAAGATGATGATGAAGATGCTGATGAAGAACACAAGGATAAGAGACCTAAGAAAAAGGTAGAAATGTTTTTGGAAGAATAATACAAGGCTGTGCTGGAAGGGATCCAAGTGTTCTAAACCTGTGAAAAAACGGGGTGCCCAGGAAGATTTCTTAGGTACCCAAGAGCAAAAGTAAGGTTATAACTGGTACAGATCCAGGGAATCCTGAAATTGCTTGGTTCACATTATTGCAGCAACAGTGTAGTGTACTTTAAGTATAGCTCACATGATATATCTGAGTGTACAAAGGTTCATGGGATTGATTATTAAAAGCATGAAAGGTTAGATCTGGAGTTTTCCTTGTGTAGACTTAATAATCCATTCAAATCGGCTTCAGTACGTGATTAAGACACGACAGTGCAGTTCATGCACTTTTGACTGAAAACAAAACAGTAAATTTGAAATTTGTTTGCTGGTGTTTTGACACTGTTTTTTTCGTAGATGTGCTGCCCTTTTCAATCACCAGTAATTTAAGTCAGTGGGAAAGCAGATACCATTCAGAATTTTTCATTTGATTTGTCCTTGATCACCATAAAAGAAAATGTTCTTTGTGTTTTGTATTTTCACATTCGGAGAGGTTCTGATCACTTTGATTTTCTTGGTTTCAGATTTTATCTAAAGCAGGCAAATCCAGTGGAGAACAAGATGGTGACGACAATGATGATGATGATGATGATGATGATGATGATATTACAAATATGAATGATGATTTAAATGATCAAGAGAAAGTTAACAAGAGGGAAGGAAAATCAGTGACTCTGGAGATGATAAAAGTGTGGAGATCAGGACTTGAAGTATGATGTTCTGTTTTGGATTGTAAAGTTTATTTGTGCCCTGTAAAATGTGGCATAAATGCTGATGTTAAAATGGAAGTACAGTTTGCCTCCCTACCTCCTGACCTGACCTTTGCTGTGATTGATCCCTTTGAAATCAACAGAGTTTCCAAAAGTAACTGAATGCCGGTTAAAATCTTTGCCTACTTGGTTATTATGGCTGGCTACTCTGCTTGGCATTTCTTTACGGATGGCGTTTTTTGAATAAAATTTCCCTGGACTGACCGCTTACTTTGACAACTGAGCCATCTACTTTAAAACTTTCTGACAACCCTGATCAACATTCCTTTTAAATAATCTGTTAAATTAAAACAAAATTATGGGATCGTTATAAGTTTCTGGGAAACTGCCTACCTATCCCAACCCTAAGCTAACATTTTGCCCTAAGTGAGAAGTACATGTACGTGTCAATGTTGGCTTAGGGGAGGGGTAGGTGGGCAGTTTCCCAGAAATGTATAATGATCCAAATTATGTTTTATTTAAAGGACCATGAACAGATTTGGAAACTCAACTGGCAGACAGCAGCTAGTTGGTTATTTGCAAGCATGGGCAAGGAGTTTATTAATCCCTTTCATCACTGTCACTAACACTCCTATTCAAAACTGCCTGTTAAAGCATTGTACACACATTCAGGAAATTTGATTTTCTTTTCTCTGTCAGAAAAATTCAATTTATTCACTTAAGCAAGCACTGAGAGCATTTCAGTCAGCTGTTCACGGAGCCCTAGACACTGGAGATGAAAAATCGCAAGTTCGCTTGACCTTTAAAGTTGAGGGAGACAAAGGTACACATCAGCTGATAAACATGCAACATGCCATACCCCTAAATGGTTTTCGCTCTTCTAATCTTCTAATCTCAGTTTTTAATATCTATGTTGCCCTAACTGTGGCTGACTTTACAAGGCTCCAAATAATTTTGGGACAGTGGTTGGACATCATAACCAACTGAAGAAACTTTTGCTCAGTTGAGTCTCATTTCTGACCAGTCCAAATATTCAGATTGGAATAAAAAGGTTTCCGTTCATGCGTAATTTTTTGTCCGTGAGCATGATTGTATTTTTATGGAGACAAAATCTAAGATTTACAGCTAGGAGGATTTGGTTATTTTTTCAAGTGTGAGAGTGGCGTGACCAGTGAATGATCAGAGAGTGAAGTGTTTGTCCAGTCAAGCCAACTTTCTGGCTGGACATTGTCTGTTGACCGGCCATTATTTTGAGCCCTGCTTTTATATTTTACTCTGTACTGACTACATGTACATGCACATTCATCTGTAATGTTATTTATTTTTCCTCTCTCATGATAATTTTATTATTTATGCCATTGATAGTGAAAGGCCAAATGTTGACCTTTCATGAGACAAACCAGAATGATTTCATCTGTTGGGTCAGATGTTAAACTAATGAAGTATAATTATATTAACCAATCAGCCACAAATTTCTGAAGCAGAATTTGATAGAGTGGATGTTGACCCAAAATCATTCAGACACACTTAACTGAGAAAGACATCAAGCTTTTCATGGACTAAATACCACCCACTCTGGTTTGTCTAATGAAAATTTCCTTCCTTGTTCTTTGCTTTACAATTCTTCAGTGAAGCTACACAAAATGAAGCAGGTCAATCCAGGCTTGTGTCGCACAATAATATTTCTTACAAATCTCTTTATTTTGTCACTCTGAACCTCAAGATGTGGCTTTAATGTTCACAAGAATGGGGGGATGGTCTTCAATATTTGATTGAGTAGGTAAATTGGATAGAACATCTTGTCCAATAATCAGAAAAGTCTGGGTTGGATCCCCAGTCTAGTCTGAAAAATTTGCAGTTTGTTTTATTTACGGTAACTTTAACCTGTTAGGTTGTTTACACGTCTAATATTATTTAGTTTTATTGCAAGCATTACATTTATGTTAATCTTTTTTCACCTGAAGTTCATAAATCTACTTGTATAGTGATTTATGTTCATACATTCCTGTATATTTTTGGTCAACCATTTTTTTTCTCCCCAGTTTTCAATGCCATTATTCAACTTTGCTTGAGACATGTCTACCCAGTATTATTTCACTACATTGGAGGGATAAACTATAAGCAAGGAAAAAGGTTTGTAAAGAAGTGTCAAAATATAAAGGCAGATTAAGTACATGTATTCCAGTTCACAATGGCTGAACTTTGGTCATGATATTAATGTTGTAAGCCAACATCGCTAGGCAAGCTTTAGGACCTTTTATTAAAGTAGCTGTCAAGCTTACGGGTAATATGTGTACATTCTATTGACAAAAGCTTATGCAACAAAAATAAACACATGCTGTCAAACATTTTAAGCCTCAACCCAACAGTTCTTTACTCTACCTGGTCATTGTATTTCTGTGTAGGGTTTTTTTTATAGCTAGCCTGGGAATGAGCTCTCCAGGCCATAAAGGGGAGTTGCAAGATATCACACGAGAACCACAGGTAAAAAGAGACTCCACTATGAGGGCATTTTTGGCTTGCACTTGTTTTCTTGTGGCTCACTTTGCTTGCCATAATTGGAGAACTTACATGTAACTTGCATGGAGACTGTTTGATAGCCACATGGAAGCTCTTTGAGGTCTTTTGAGGTAGGAGAGGAAAGGACAGGGAAAGTAGGGTTCTTTCTCCTTTTTCTCCCCACCCCTCTCTCCTAGAGTGCCTCAGAGAGCTTGCTCGCAGGCTTGTTTTTTGATCATTGGTTTCAGGAAGGTGTGTTTGTCTTTTATTGCAGAATTCTTCCTTCTTTTCATTCAAACTGGTCTAAGGTTAAAACATCAGTCAAGCATTACCTCACTGACATTCTACAGGTACAATTTAAAATAATAATTGTGCTAGGGTACAAGTGCTATAACCTGCGAAAACATCCGTTTCTCCTTGCTCTTCGCCGCTGGGGACGTTTCGGGCGGAGGAACGTCTGCGACTCAGCGACAGAAATTCCATACTGATGATGCAAATCAGTGTTTACATAATAAATCCGGTAGTCATGGGGTTCCAAATAACTATGTCCAATTTTACGTGTCTTACGGTCGATTTTGGAAAAGTGTTGTGTTCATCAGCCAACGAGCTCCCGCAAAACTCAAATGCTTCTTCTAGAGAAGACTATATTCCACAGAATCGCATAATTAAGTAAAATCTCGCATTCTGATTGGTTAACGAAGCGAGGTATTTAGTGTGGAATTGCGAGTTGAAAACGAGGCTAAGCGATATTGTTTCGCATCTACGTAACAACTATCGTCAAATTCTAACACAACAACATGCAAAAAAGGTTTTCTACAATGTCATGTTAAAATGTTTTCAAAACCATTCATTGTCACTTTTTGAAGAGTTAAAAACAAACAAAAGCCTTTTTTTAAAGTGAGCCGGAGGTTCTTCCTTGTTTTGAACTGAACTACAGATTCTCGAAGAGACATAAAACCTCTTTCACTCGCGACAACCAGAAAACAAGAAAATCCTGTGAACACGGCCCAGAAAATGGCAATCCAAAGTTCAACCAAACAAAACGGAGAAACGACAACGGAGGAAGTGCCGGGGTCGATTGTCCCATATACAGAAGAAGAAATAAATACCTTCAAAGAGGACATGGCCCCTGAAAACACGAAAAAGAGTACGCCGCTTGCAATCGTCCTGAATCGTGGTACTTAGAAAAGTACAAAAACAGAGCTGAACTTGAACAGCATTTCTAAAACATTTCAAGGTACTTACCTTATGTCAATCGCGACGTTAAACATGTTAAACTTTCAGTGCTTTCGCTTGGACACTTGATTTCTTTCCGTTTTGCCGCCGAAGAGGTAAAAGGTGTAAATTATTTTCCCTCTCGAGCAAATGACCAATTTGAAAAAGACGTTCTACATAAACGGCTTCTAAATTCAGTAAAATACCTCTATTTATCCTTACGATTAGTGTGAAGCTTGTTTACATGTAAAAAGTTTGAAAACAAATATAAAAACAAGCACAAAGGTACAAAAAAAAGTTGTCGAAGGTTCAAACGTGTACGACTGACCTTGCTTCCTACTCGCTAACGCAATGACAGTTCTGACAGTTGACTTTGAAATGGCTTTCTGGAGCGCGCGCTCAGGATAAAAACAAACAATATTATTGCTGTTTTCTTTTTTTTTCTTCTGATTTTTATTCAATTATGCGATTCAAGGAAAATTCATTACCTGACTCGAGAATTCCACGTTAAATTGCACTTGAAAACCGATATCGCACTCATCGCTTCGCGATTCGTGCGATATCGGTTTTCGCGTGCAATTTAACGTGGAATTCCCTCGTCAGGTAATGAATTTTCCTATAATATTGACTGTTTTGTTGGAGATTCTTTGCGTTTAGATTTGACATTTGTGGCCTTTTGTCTTTTGTCTGTCATTCGTAAACAATAACTAAAACAATGTAACTACTCTGCCGACCAATCAGCGCTTCTGACCGGATTCCGGACAGAGTTTACATCATCAATATGGAATTTCTGTCGCTGAGTCGCAGACGTTCCTCCGCGCGAAACGTCCCCAGCGGCGAAGAGCAAGGAGAAACGGATGTTTTCGCAGGCTACAAGTGCTATAGATACATGTACAGTGCACATCTGTACACTGAATTGTCTCCTTTCATATACCTTTCATATTATAGACAGCTGTTTTGATCTTTAAGATACAAAATTCCTAATTCAAAGATGTGGACACGTGTCCAATTAGAATCTTTTGTTGTCTTTCTGTTTTCTATTCCTTTGATGTCCACTCATTTAATGAGGTTTGCCTATATGGTTGGATAGATCTTTACACACTGTTATATTGTCCATCTTGAAGAGAGCTTGGTACAAATGTACATTAAAATGGAGGGTTGTGCCTGCCATTTTGAATGTGGAGAAAGCATTGAGAACATTGCTAATTTTTGTTATAAGATTTTAACAATGCGATTTTTCTGTGGTTTTGTTTGCAGTTGTTGCGGACTCTTGCTGAGCCATCCATGTTATGTGTGATCTTACGACATGCTCAGCAGCTGATACCATACTATACCTGCTATCCAAAAATTGCCAAAGCTTTTATAAAGGTAACAGTGATAACTTGATTGGTTGATAGTAGGGAGTTTAAGATACCACGACGGCGACTGCGGCAAAAACTTCGCTTAAAAAGTGACTTCTCGATCTATGAAACTTTAGCGCGATTATCCCAACTCGGTCACTATGTTTTATGTAGGCGAACTCTCCTGGAGTTGAATTCTTAAGGAAAATATCCAGGTTTACAAAGAGTAGGAGAGATTAAAACGTATGTTCACGTTGTCGATAAAACGTGAAATTAGGCAGCTGACGTCGTAGTCGTGCAATGACGGCAAAGAAAGGGGTCTCCACCAGGAGAGGGGTCTAGGGGCTGCCCAGGCCCCCAGCCCCCCAGCAGGGTACAGGGGCATCACCCTGTTGGAGGTCCATAGGGCGAAGCCCCCGGGGGCTAAAGAGGCGATAATGCTGGTCGCCGGCGCATTTTGACAACCCTGGGTGGGGGAACACATGTCACTAGGAATGTGTGTTCCCAGGTAGGGGGAAACACATTTCTCCAGTGACTTGTGTTTCCCCGGTAGGGGAAAACATATCACTAGTGATATGTGTTTTCAGGGTAGAGGAAGACACATTACTAGTGGAATGTGTTTTCCGGTTAGGGGTACACACGTCACTAGGGATATATGTTCCCCTACCCGTTGTAGTGTCGTAGTCTCCTAGGAACAGGTTTACGATGTAATATATGCGGATGTAGTAAGGTAAGAAATTAGCATGGTGATTCAGTACGAACGAGAGGTGTGATTCGACGGAAAAATTGCGATGCTCGAGAAACGTGAGACTCTACATTGGCAATCAGGATCTTTCTTTTTTCAGTAATATAAGATAAAATGGCTGCGTTCGACACTAACCGTACCTACGGACCGTTTGATTCGGATTTAGACCCGACATCAGTCGGACCACGTTTTGAGAAATATGTGGACAGATTCAAAGTCTACGCTGTGGTGATGAACATCAAAGAAAAGGAGAGGAAACGGGAAGTATTCTTGCATTGTGCCGGACCCAGAGTACACGATATTTTTGATGCATTAGAGGACACCGGAGGACAATGTTGAGACCGCCGCGAAGAAACCTATGGAGTATTTTGAACCGAGGAAACATTTTCTTTTCAATATTTACCAGTTTCAGCAGTTGTGCCAGGAAAAAGAAGAATGTTATGATAATTATGCCACTCGTGGCATAATTGAGGCAGGCAGCAGTTCCCTGTGAATTTCTGGGCGAATGGCGAGACGTTGAAATACATGTACAGTTACAATTGACCGAGAAAGGAAAATTGAAGCTAGTCAGGCGACTTCTCCGTAGCAAACCACATACCCTCGAGGAGGCTTTAGATTTTGCGAGAACGCAGGAGATGTCTGATAAGCAAGCAAAATTGAAAGGGTTCAGCAAAGTCAAGGAGCAAGCCCCGATGATGAGGAGAGGTTGTACAAAGTCAGGCCACCGGGACAAAGCAATGTTTGTAGCAAGGCGTGTTTTTCTTGTGGTGGGATATTTCCGCACGGAGGGGGACGGACGAAATGCCCACCCTGGAGAAAAAGATGTTGGTCATGCAACCGGATGAATCATTTCGCTAAATGCTGTAGAATCAAAGGGAAAGTATAAACAAAGATGAGCAGTCAAGACCGTTTGTGAGGAAGAGCCCTCAGATAGCAGTGCTACATAGTCTCTTGGCAGGGTCGAGGAAGTTGGAGCGTTGGAGGACAAATAAACAAAAATGAAGGCCAATAAGATGTATTAAAGTCGAAAACTGTGCGTTTCAGGTGTTGGTGGACACTGGGCCGACACTTAATGTTATGGACGAGTGTACTTTCCGACAGTTACTGGCTGACAAGGTCACACTGAAAACGTGGTCAAGTGTGCTGATTGGAAAATTTGATGCGATGGTCGAGTCTGGCAAGATTCCGTGTCGTAAAGGGGCGCACGAACATTAAACTGTTGATAGGGTTCCAGACTGCCGAAGATTTAGGTTTCGTGCTGGTTGTAAATTCGGTTCAATCGAATGAAACAGCTATAAGCAAACTAGTGGGAGAGTACGCTGACCTCTTCAAGGGTATTGGAATTAAGGTGAAAGGGATGCAAGTGGATTTGCACGTCAACCCCGCGATACTGCCCCTGGCACAGCCTCACAGAAGGCCTAAACTGGAGGTGGAGCTGGAGATGACATAATCGAGAAAGTAGACAAGCCTACGGTGTACCGGTTGGGTTTCAACTGTTGTAATAACTCCGAAACAGTCTATTAATGAAGTACGATTGAACATGGACGTGAGGGAAGCCAATAAAGCCATCCCACGTGCGCACACAGTTATGCCGACACTGGATGACATCATACAGGAACTCATTGGTGCCACCATGTTTTCGCACCTGGACATGAACCATGGCTATCACCAGTTGGAACTGAAAGAGAACAGTTGTGATATCACCACGTTTGCAACACATGTGGGCCTGTGTAGGCACAGGAGGCTAAATTTCGGCGCGAAGTCATCTGGAGAAATTTTTAAAGATACAGTGAGCAAGGAGACAAAGCGTGACATTCCTGAATGCATCAATATGAGTGATAATAGTCTTGTATTTGGCAAAGACCAAGAGGAACACGACCAGAGTTTAGATAAATTGTTCAAAAGGGCTAGAGAGAAAGGAATCACCTTCAATAAAGAGAAGTGGGAATTCAATAAGGACAGATGTCTGTATTTACGGAATGGTTTTCTCAAAAGAAAGGGCCTCCCCTGATCCGGCAAAAGTAGACGCTATAAAAGAGGCGGTACCTCAGCGCAACGCCAAGGAACTCAATTCATTCCTGTGTACCGTGCTGTATAACGCAAGATTTATAGAGAGTTACACCCCACAAACAGACACCCTCGGAGACCTGGTGAAAACGGATGTTTTCACGTGGAAAAAAGAGCACCAGGAGGCATTCGATTCGTTAAAGGAGGCTCTGTCCAGACATGGTCCTGCCTTATTTCGACCCCAACGCACAGCATGAAGTACACGTTGATGGATGTCCTTTACGAGTCTCCGTCGGCGACGTTGGTCCAGCGTATTCCTAATGAAGACAACTGCCGAGTGGTACAGTGTGCCACCAGGGCTCTGTCGGATGTGGAACAGAGGTATTCCCAAATTGAGCAGGAGATGTTAGCTGTAGATTTCGCATGTAGAAAATTCCATGTCTTCCTCTATGGCAAACCGTTCACGATTTTCACAGATCACAAGCGACACCACGGCCATAACGCTACAGAGAATGTCGGTGCGAATGCTCGACTACGAGTTCAGGGTGGAATACATGCCAGGGAAGACTAACATCTCGGATTATACTTCGAGGCACCCCCTTCCACGTGTGGCAACACTAAAAGGGAACTGGGCACTACTAAAGATGTAAGGCATTAGGGGTGTAACGATTCATATTCCTTACGATTCGATTCGATTTCGACTATTGCCTTTCGATTTCAATTATTTCGATTTGATTATGTAAGTGTTTCTTAATTCTTATAACATAATGCGTATTATAAACAGCATGCAACCCTAAACCCTCAATTTGAGAACAGTAATAGGGACAGGAGGATTCACAGCCTCTCGGTCGTTCGTCGCCATGTTTGAGAACCTGACAAAGAGCGTTTCGCAAATGGTTTGCCTTATTTGAAACTCTCAAGGGGTGGTCAAAGGACAGCATTTTTCTAGGCAACACAAAATGGCGCACGAACTGCGATCGCCAAAAATGCACATTTTAAAGAGTTCGGGATTCTGATTTTACAATATAATAACTCACTGAAAGCACCCTGGAAAAGGTATGCAAAAATCGAATCAACATCGAAACGTGGAAGCAAAGAATCGTGAATCGAACCGAATGGTCATAATCGCGATTAACCGACAAAACACATATCCTTAGTGATATGTGTTCCCCAACCTGGGAAACATATATCCCTAGTGATATGTGTTCCTCTATCTGGGAAACACATATCTCTAGTGATATGTGTTCTCCTACTCGGAAACACTGATCCCTAGTGATTTGTGTTCCCCTACCTGAGAAACATATATCCCTAGTGATATGTCTTCCCTTACCTGGGAAACATATATCCCTAGTGATATGTGTTCCCCTACCTGGGAAACACTTTTCCCTAGTGATATGTGTTCCCCTACCTGGGAAACATATATCCTTAGTGATATGTGTTCCCCTACCTATCTCATCTCTTGTTAGATTTTTTTCTTATTCTTTTCAATTAAGATCAGTAGATTAGTTAATGTTTCGATCTGTAATTTAATTTTTTTAGCGTTAAGACGCAATTCAGTTTTCGACCTCCTATCTGTTTTTGAATTATTAAACTTCAAACTGCAAACTTCAAACAACATGCTCAAAACGTGGATAACACTATCAACGAGATAAATCTCTATACACTAGATAGCGCAATTGGCTCCCCTAATATTTATCTACGACTGGATAGTGATTTATCCGGTGGATTAGGCTATCCAGTTTTTGAACAACTGGGGCCTGGTCGTCATTCATGATTGCAGGCAGGATTTTGTTAAAATGGACAAAGTTTAGTAAGACGTTTTCTGATAGCTGACTGTTTTTAGCCACAGCTCTGTTTTACTCTTGAAAATGAATGTTAATTAAATTTTTATTCATTGTTATTATACATTGTATAATGTACTCAGTATCGGTCTTCTCATTGGCTAAGAGCCTATAGGTAATTTTGGAAATCAGCGCAACCTACTGATTAGTTAGTTATCTGCTAGAAGCAGATAACTGACTTATCTTTAGGTTCTGCGCGCAATGCATGATTCCCAAAAACAATATCAATTCAGGTTCCTTGCGACGGTGTGGTTGTCGTCTTTTTCTTCAAAACAAGTGTTTAAGTGTTATCAGCGTCAACCCTCAGCTCGGCTAATAACATTTCGGCCTCGACCTTGGTTTTTCCAGATATCACAAAAACCTCATCCAATTATTATTGTTTATTGTCGTCTTTTGCAGAGATCTGTAAGAATGTGGAGTAGAGGTGAAGAACATGTCAGAGTTCTCGCTTTCCTTGGTATCAGGAATGTTGCTACGATGATGCCTTCTTCACTGTTGGAGTTTTCTGTCAAGGTTTGTTACTAACTGCACTAAACTCCTTTTGATGCAGTTTGACCAATAAACCTACCCTGGATGCGAGAGATTTTTCTAGCGCGGTTTCCGGTTTCTGTCAAGTCTTTATAGTGACCTGTGCCAGAGGTTTTTCTCGAGTCTTCGGCCTACGACCGAAGATGTGTCGGCCTTCGGCCAAGACCGAAAATTCCCGCCGTACGCGAGAAAAACCTCTGGTACCCAGGGTACAATAAACCAAACAACCAACTTCAAAAGTTTCCTTCTTGTTCCAGAGAGTTATCACTTGTATGTAAATGCTCCATTTGATTTCAGGCCAATATACACCATGTCCACCTTCTTCTTAGAGAAGATGCACACCACTTTGTAATGGGAAACTATTGTGCTTCAATTAAGTTTTGTTTGAATTGTTATGGTTTTGTTTTTTTCAGCAATTGTACATAAATTTTGTCAAGAATTCCAAGTTCATGTCCCCCAAGACAAAACCCATCATAGCATTTATGCAGAATTCATTGGTTGAGATTTTCAGCCTGGATTCTCATCTAACTTACCAACACGGATTTGTCTTCATCAGACAGCTAGCGATTCACCTTAGAAATGCCATTGTGCAACAGAAGAAGGTACTTTAGTTTATCAAGCTGAGGATTGAGCGATTTTCGTATGACCTTGAAAAATGGTTTCAGTAACTGTTCGTTATTTGTTTTGTCAGCCAATGCCTTCTCCTAATATGGAGAAGACATTGTTCGATTGGCCAATCGTGTGGCAGTGTGACGTCAAAGCGAAGAACCGGTTGATTTCTAGAAAGTTATCGGGCAGGAAATTAAGCGTTCACTTAGCCAACCAAAAGCCACTCGCGTTGGTATCCGTTTGATAAACCAATCAAATCGCTCTATTTTTGTTCGGTTGTTGTTTCTGATTTGTTGGCTCTTTTTCATTTCAAGGTCATCGAAAATTGCTCCAAGCCTTTTTCTTGTAATTCCTCTTTCCTCGTAATTTTTAGGAATTAGTTGAGATTTGTTCGAAGATGAAAACAGTTCTTTTCACAGCCATTCCTCTTGAATAATGTTCTGATATTGATTGGAGAAAATTGGGTTTAGAGTCGGCTAAGAAGGCTTAACTCAGGTCTTTCGCCTTGCGCATGCCATCCCTCTTAAGTCTTCAAAACCCGCACCTGCAATCCCCTTGGACTTTCTAAAAGTCCTTTTTATTTCTCCTGGTCGGTTATGCAATTTGAAAGACTTTTCATGCCTGTTTGGCATAAAATTCACCGGAGAAAATTCCACCTGTGACGTCATGACAATTGACCAATAGGAGAGCCAGTGATATTTGACGCCACTCCCGACACAGCATATGTCAACCATTTTTCTCGCGAGAATTTATTCTTGGTTTTAAGGTTTCGTCCCCACCTAGCAAAAGATCTCTTAGAAATAAACATCTTGTGCATGTTTTGAACGTGATAGCGTTTTCCGTTTTTTTTTTCACATGTGTTAAAAAATAATTTTATCGCAAGATATTATGCCCTTTGAAAGGTGAAAGTATTAGAAAATGTGTTTATTGGAATAATTTGCTCGTTCGCTGTAAACAACTGATCAAATTTGTGGCGATACTGAAACCAGATGTTTGCATTATTTCCGGCCGCCATATTTGTGCTCCTCAGAGGAGCACAAATATGGCATCCGCATAGTGAGCCCTATAAATTTTTGTTACACATTTTGAAGAACAACTCGGCAGCGGAAAACTGCATAAACGTGAGACTTGGCCAGGTTGTTAATTTATGATATCAACATCCTATAATATCTGAAAGTTTTGGCTTCAGACGTTCCACGGTTTTGATTTTAGTTTTCGATGGAACAAAACCACCAATAATATGATTCCAATCCATTCAGGCGAAACAAGTCGGCGTCACTGTGCGACCTCATTGAAGCTCGCTTCGTTTGCTTTTAAGAACTTATGAGAGGTCGCCTTGTAGCAAGTCTACTATCCGCGGTAATCTTCCTCAAGTTTGTCCATACGTGCCTTCTTATTTAAACATCTTTTTATGTTTTAGGCGCATTTTTTTTTACTTTCATCCTTTAAACGATTCTGATTCCTTTTTTGTTGTTGTTTCTTTTTTTTCCAGGACTCGTATCAGTCAGTTTATAACTGGCAGTACTTACACTGTCTTCACCTTTGGTGTCGTGTTGTGAGTGAAGTGAAAAGCAACGGAGTCCTTGATCCTCTTATTTATCCCCTGGTACAGACCATCATCGGTGCAATTAAGTAAGCTTACCCATGTTCATGTTGAACTATTTAAGGAGGCTGAACACAGTTTCTCTTCGAATTCTTTATCCCTTTACTGCGTTTGAGAACATCTTTATCATGAGGAGATATGCAGCCAATAAACCTTTAAAGAAAAACGTACGAGAACAAGCTGACTGAGAAAACTGCTCAGACTGAAGCAATTTATTCTGTTTTCGTCGCAGTCGATAGAGCCATTTTCGTATGACCTTGAAAAATGGTTTCAGTAAGTGTTCTTTATTTGTTTTTTCCCCCAAAGAAAACAATAATATGGAGAAGGCATTAATTGGATTGGCCAATCGTGTTGCAGTATGACGTCAAGGCAAAGTATTGATTGATTCCTAAAAAGTTCTTCGGACATGAAGTTTTTTTCAGCCGAGCGTTCGCTTAACCAACCAAAAGCCACGCGCATTTGTGTCCGTTCGACAAACCAATCAAATGGCTCTATTTCCGTTCGTTTGTTATTTCTGTTTTGTTCGCGCGTTTTCATTTCAAGATCGTACGAAAATCGCTCTATCGCGTGTTCTGAGCGCGTGTAAAAGGTGTTAAGCATGCGAAAATGATCAACTTCTAACATTTGATAACTCCGAGCTTTCTAGTTGACTCTTTGCCCACCGGGCTTGCTAGTCCGGTGGGAAAGTGTTCTTGTCCCAGACTACCGGAGGGGACCTTTTTGGAACTCCGTTTTCCCAACAAAAAAAGGGTATTATGGGTTTCTTTTAATTCCTGTAGAAGAGGGTTATGCATCTTGTTGCTAATTTTCTTGTGTTGTCTTCGATCGAAGATTGGTTCCCGCGGCAAGATTTTATCCTCTTAGATTTCACTGTATTCGTTCGTTGAACCTGCTGTCACAGGCGACAGACACATACATTCCAGTGGCACCATTCTTGCTGGAGGTAAGTAAGATTGTGGTAAAATCACAAGACGCAAAAATGGGTGCACGTACAATTTACAACCCATTATCCAACGTACTAGAGTTTAATGAAATGACCATAAACATGAAGAGCACAAAATGAAATTGTTTTACTGACACTCTCTGACTCTTTCACCGATACGGTGACCACCACTCCACCCCCTTCCCCCCTTCTCTCAACCTGACGACCACCCCGTTTATACAACCTTCTCACCAAGAATACAGGATTTACCTTTTTGGGGGGTACGTGTTAAATTTCACGTTTTTCGGGATTGTGGAAAAATCGCGAAATGAACCCATTCGCCCCTGAGCTGCCCGTAACCACCCTTTCGGAACCACGTCCCTTCTACCGCTTGTGATGTCACAGTTTGTTGTTCCATCACAAACCTTTTCCTTAAAACTTTTCCCATCGCCATGAGGCAAGAAAAGCGAAAAAAAAGGGGAGGAAGGGAGAAAAGTCAAAGTCGAGACTGCTTTGTCACTTTTAAACCCCAAATTTTGCCCATTAATGCCCGAACTTCGCAAGCCAATATTTTGCATCTAGATCAGAAGGCCGCGAAGTGTGCGATATGTAAATTGTTAGGAGGTTCTTCGACGGGTGAGCTCTTCCAGCGAGAGGACTCCGACTATGACAAGGCTTTGATACTTTTCTTCCTTTTAATTACTGACGGCAAACTTCTTCAGTACAGCCTCTTACAACAGCTAATCACTCACAACTAACCATCCAACTATACAACTTATATAAGCATAACGCAGGTACGTTTAGGCTTGCTGATCATGAGAGTTACGAACGCTATTCCGAATGACTATAACGAATTTCCTGTTGTTAACGAAAGTGGAATAAACAATCCTACAAGAAAACCGATGAAAACTTGACAGCTAAATCCACGAGGCTATACCTAAACCAAAACAGGAACTCTGATGTAGGTAATAATCAAGGTCAGCAATGGTCCCAAAACGTACCCACTTAAAAACTGATAATCAAACTTGATTAAACCCCAAGCTTGATGACACTTCTGTCGACAAACGCATTAAAAGAGGTAATAACACTCAAAAACCTGTCAACACATACATTGGTTAACCTTGATCTTCAAACCCAAACATAACGAAACCTAAAGCACGAGCGAACGATCAAGAACAGACAGAATTTTCATCAAAAATCCTTATGATAATGATGTCAAAAACAACCACAAAACTACTTCATAACAAAATGTTTTATGTTAGTTTTAGCTCTAAATAGTACGACAATAACCAGAAAACCGCTTGACTAGCTTCGAAAGGCGTTTTTCGGTAAAATTCCAGGGGCGAATGGTTTAAAGACCCACGAATAAAAACGCCCCTTGAAATTTAAACACGCGAAATCTTATACTCTCATACAAAATTCAAATCACAGAGAGACAAAAAAGGTTAACTTAACAACAAATACCGACAAATTTACTGACTATATACGGTTTCCTTGCTCCAGTTTATCTCGATATTTTAAAAACGTCCAAACGTTTGAAATATAAAATCAAGTTTAAAACGCTTGAATCGCGAAATTTAATGTCCTTTTTCATACTAGTTTGCCTCGTGAAATCGCGAATATAAAACCCCACGAGGTACTGTCTTGCCAAAATGGCGTAATTAAGGGCCTGTTTACATGGAGGTGGGGGACCCCAAGTAGGTGAGGAAACCTTCTTAGGTGGGGTAACCCGCCTGTCCATATAATCTCCCGTTTTAACTTGGTCACGTTTACATGATAGGTGGGGTGACCATATGAGAGACAGGCGGGTTACCCGACCTAAGCGGATTACCTCACCTACTTCGCGTCCCCCCCCATGTAAACGGGCGCTAAGTACCCGCAGAATTAAGTACCAATGGGGTATTATACTGATTGCCAAAACACTATCTTTTCTTGCGGGAAAAAAATGGGTTCCGATTTGGCAAAATAGGCCCATCTTATGCGCTCGGGTAGTCAATCAGAATACAGGATTCGCCGTATATTACCAGCTCACTGACTCCTCTGTACAATAAAATTTGTTTTTGCATTGTCATTCGTTTGACTTGCTTGCCCATGCTTTTGTTTCAGATTTTAGAATCTCCGGAATTTAACAAAAAAGTGAAGTCGTCTACTGCAAAGCCCACAGAGTTTTCGTGTATATTGAAAGTTTCAAAACAGCAGCTGGGAACAAAACCATTCCAGGTAGGAACGTTATGCTTGATGCATCAGTTGAATTTTCGATTTAGTAATTTCTTGTTTTGTGTCTGGCCAATTTCAGTCCGCAATTCACCGTACGTACTAGCGGACTCACCTTGGAGCAACCTCTCCATTTTGGGGGAAGTCGCGAGAAGACACGTGTAAGCGGCACGGGAAGGAAGACCCGAGTACGTCAAGCGAAAGGAGACGGCTCGCGCGGCTCGCTTCGCGCGCCACTCGAAATGGAGAGCCTGATCGCAGACTACGTATACCGACCGAAGTTTAAATGCAAGATGACTGTAAACAACCCTTCTATTCAATACATTATACAACTAAATTTCACTCTGAAGACGACTACTGCACAGGTTGTCGAAACGTCAGTTACTGTCAACAACAGCCCTATTTGGAACTTCCATGTTCTCCTTACTACATTTTGCTTTCCCCACAAAATTTTGCAGACGTTTTTGTTGTCTATTCACAAGGGACGATTTTTAGTCCCAAGAGAAATTGAAAATAGAGCTTATGCAAAGTTTTGTGGGGAACAGAAATTGCATTATGAGGAACGTGAAAGTCGCAATTTCAGGACTACGTTTTCCCGGACGCTCATGCACAACCTGCTTATGAAATGACTCTAGGGTTTAAACCTTTTACAAATCTTCAATTCTCGTTGTATTAAATTTAAATCTAAGCGATCCTTGTCTTGGACATAAGCGTCTAACATTTGGTTTGAGACTGCGCGTTTCAAGTAACTAAACGCCACAGTTGCATATAAACTTGTGTGAAAAAGACAGTATGTTGGACGGAATGTAATTCCGCATTTTTGTTGCTAATTGGAAAGAAAAGCACAGACTATTAAACATTTATCTTGAATTAGAAAAGGAAGAAAGAACCTAAACTTTATTCAACAATTAAAAAGGGAATCGACTATTGACCTCCTAGCATATATTTTTATTATTATTATTAAAAACTGAGCGTTAGTTAGCTGAAGATGAAGGCAAAACCCTTGGAGGGTTTCTTTTTGAACCTATAACCATTCGAAACGTTTTTCGAAAGCGTTCCAACCTCCACCCATAAATAATTGGATCAAGAAGAGAGGATAAAAGCAAAACATCGTTTGTTATAAAGTGAGTGATTAAAAACGGTGTGGATTTTTGACAGTCACACAGTAACCACAAATGAACTTTCACGAAATATGGCGCGAAACAAACGTAAAAAGTAAGTAAGACCAGCAAAATTGTGGCTGCCAATTTGCGCTCACGGTACAAAGTTTTTCTGTTGTTGGAATCCGTCGTTTGGGGATGAAGCACTTGATCTAAAGCTTGAAGTTTTTTAGAAAGCCTCTTGAAAATCACGATGTAAACAAGAGTCAATATAATGGCGGGAAGGACAAAATGAGAGTAGCAGTACGCGACCAGAAAATCCAACTTTCTGACGCCAGCGGCAGGTAGAACAGCAAAACACAGCGCAGTTGGCCAGACTGCAAGCAAGCAGATCTTCACTCTTTTTACAGTTACTTTTGTTCTGTAGTTAGTTGGATCTGAAACGGCAACAAATCGGTCCCAAGACATGGCTATAATGGAGTAGACGGCTGCAAACATGGCCGATCCTGCGATGATGTATTGTACAGTGTTTAACGAGAGCGGGGTTTGTTGGCCACGATAAAGTAAAAACATTTCCATTGCACGGCAATAGCCCACGAAAAATCCGACCAAGAGATCCGCTACAGCAAGATTCGCGATGAGATAGACGGTGGGATTTCTCAGACAGCGGAGAGGGTCGCGACAGATAGCGAACAGCAAGAGAGAATTGCCTACAGTTGTTGCAGTGGCTAAGATTACTTCTATAATCACAAGACAGAGATAGAATGACGGACTTAACTGTTGGTAAATGTTCTCAGATTGGTGAGAGATTGCAGCTTGTCCTTGTTTCGCTGTAGAATTGTTCATGTTGTATGTTCAAACACAGAGGACGTTAAGTTGCGAAAACGAAAGTTCCTAATACCAATTATCGTTCCTGGTTGCCTAAGGTAACGCCGCAAACCAGAAGAAATCCGCCGAACGTTAGAAAAAGATGCTAGCCACAACTTAAAACTGGAAGTTTAAAGCGACTAAGAAAATTGTGGTTGCGGTGGATATCACGGATTGTGCGGAAATTGTTGCCAGATCAGTTCAAGGCCAGCAAGAATAATTGTGTGAGGGTGGATTACACGGATTTGACGGAAACTTGTGTCATTTCATACTCCTTTTTTAAAATATTAACTATTGAAGAGAAGAATATGTCAATATATCATGTATTAGATACTTACAGTTAAAAAAGAAGTATTTTAAAATCATGTCTATTCTTAATCAATATCTGTGAAATCCGTCGAATCCGCCGTATTTTAGAAAAAGATATCAGCCGGTCAGCTGCAACTTTAAACTGGAAGTTCAAAGCAGATAAAAAAGATTGCAAGAAATTTTTGGTTAGGGTGGATTTCCCGGATTTTACAAAACCTTGTGTCATTTAATACTCATTTTTTCAAACTTTAAATATTGAACAGAAGAATATGTTAATATATCATGTATTAGAAACTTACAGTTTAAAAAGGAAGTATTTTAACATCATGTCTATTCTTAATCGATATCCGCGAGATCCGTCGAATCCGCCGTATTTTAGAAAAAAGATATTAACTAGTCAACTGCAACTTAGAACTGGAAGTTCAAAGATCAGCCAAAAAATCTGTGCTACGAGTGGATTTCACGGATTTTGCGTATAAATGTTCTATAACAACTTGACTTAGCCCTATCACTCTTAAGATTGAAAAGCTCATTTCTTTTTTGACAGTTTGGAAGTGTAATTAAGATGTTATATGAAGACCACATATCCTCGTCGGTTGTTTTCTTAATTCTCATAACCTGTCTCCTTGAGATTGTGTTAAAATGATGAAGAGAATTCAAATCAATGCTGGTCCCCCTTAGGAAAGGCGGGGTTAAAACGGTTCTTTTACAGAGCAGATGTATAAAAATGTAAACAACATTTATCTATCACTTCAAAGTTAAAATTCAGTTGGTGAACTAGCGCATTGTCAGAGAGTAGACGTTCTTGCTGCACCCCAAAACAGGTACATAAGGCAGATTTAATGGCATTTGCGGACAAAACAACCCTCCATTTAGCGATTTACATAAGTGAACAAATTGTCATTGTCAACCTTTTTCTCACGAAATAGCGCAATTAACAAATTTCGCACAAAGCAATCAATGCATTTGTTTCTTGAATTGATGCTCAATGACATCAATAAACAAGTTGAAATAAATATGAAATTCAACTTGGCCCGCTTCAAAAGTCATCGGCTGCTAATTGCTACCCATTATCACGGGAAAATAATGGAACCAATGATGGTGATGGTGATGGTGATGGTGATGGTGATGGTGATGGTGATGGTGATGGTGATGATAATGATCGTTTCCCAAATTTCTGTTCCCTCTGAATTTTTGAATTTTAAATCTCACGTTGAGCGTTGTCAACCTGTTTAGAGAGCGATCTTTTTGGACAGATGATGGGCCAAATACTTTACAGTGCATTTACTTTTCTTAGAGTGTACTTGTTGAATATAAGGTGATTAATGTGATCGATATCCTTGAAACTCGGAAAAAAGAAAAAAAAGGTCCAAAACATTCTCTCTTGACAAAACCTCCCCTATTCTAAAGGGAACTTTTAGAAAACAGACAAATCCGTCAATGCCGCCCAATTTAGAGAAAAAGCATTTCTGCCGAGCAGCATACCTCTACAAAGAGAATACATGGATATGATACATATAAGATACTTTGAATCAAGAAAGGAAGTGTTAAGTCATTTATATTCTAAACATCCCTGAAATTTGTAAAATCCGCCGAACGTTAGAAAAAGATGCTAGCCACAACTTAAAACTGGAAGTTTAAAGCGACTAAGAAAATTGTGGTTGCGGTGGATATCACGGATTGTGCGGAAATTGTTGCCAGATCAGTTTAAGGCCAGCAAGAATAATTGTGTGAGGGTGGATTACACGGATTTGACGGAAACTTGTGTCATTTCATACTCCTTTTTTAAAATATTAACTATTGAAGAGAAGAATATGTCAATATATCATGTATTAGATACTTACAGTTAAAAAAGAAGTATTTTAAAATCATGTCTATTCTTAATCAATATCTGTGAAATCCGTCGAATCCGCCGTATTTTAGAAAAAGATATCAGCCGGTCAGCTGCAACTTTAAACTGGAAGTTCAAAGCAGATAAAAAAGATTGCAAGAAATTTTTGGTTAGGGTGGATTTCCCGGATTTTACAAAACCCTGTGTCATTTAATACTCATTTTTTCAAACTTTAACTATTGAACAGAAGAATATGTTAATATATCATGTATTAGAAACTTACAGTTTAAAAAGGAAGTATTTTAACATCATGTCTATTCTTAATCGATATCCGCGAGATCCGTCGAATCCGCCGTATTTTAGAAAAAGATATTAACTAGTCAACTGCAACTTAGAACTGGAAGTTCAAAGATCAGCCAAAAAATCTGTGCTACGAGTGGATTTCACGGATTTTGCGTATAAATGTTCTATAACAACTTGACTTAGCCCTATCACTCTTAAGATTGAAAAGCTCATTTCTTTTTGACAGTTTGGAAGTGTAATTAAGATGTTATATGAAGACCACATATCCTCGTCGGTTGTTTTCTTAATTCTCATAACCTGTCTCCTTGAGATTGTGTTAAAATGATGAAGAGAATTCAAATCAATGCTGGTCCCCCTTAGGAAAGGCGGGGTTAAAACGGTTCTTTTACAGAGCAGATGTATAAAAATGTAAACAACATTTATCCATCACTTCAAAGTTAAAATTCAGTTGGTGAACTAGCGCATTGTCAGAGAGTAGACGTTCTTGCTGCACCCCAAAACAGGTACATAAGGCAGATTTAATGGCATTTGCGGACAAAACAACCCTCCATTTAGCGATTTACATAAGTGAACAAATTGTCATTGTCAACCTTTTTCTCACGAAATAGCGCAATTAACAAATTTCGCACAAAGCAATCAATGCATTTGTTTCTTGAATTGATGCTCAATGACATCAATAAACAAGTTGAAATAAATATGAAATTCAACTTGGCCCGCTTCAAAAGTCATCGGCTGCTAATTGCTACCCATTATCACGGGAAAATAATGGAACCAATGATGGTGATGGTGATGGTGATGGTGATGGTGATGGTGATGGTGATGGTGATGATAATGATCGTTTCCCAAATTTCTGTTCCCTCTGAATTTTTGAATTTTAAATCTCACGTTGAGCGTTGTCAACCTGTTTAGAGAGCGATCTTTTTGGACAGATGATGGGCCAAATACTTTACAGTGCATTTACTTTTCTTAGAGTGTACTTGTTGAATATAAGGTGATTAATGTGATCGATATCCTTGAAACTCGGAAAAGAAGAAAAAAGGTCCAAAACATTCTCTCTTGACAAAACCTCCCCTATTCTAAAGGGAACTTTTAGAAAACAGACAAATCCGTCAATGCCGCCCAATTTAGAGAAAAAGCATTTCTGCCGAGCAGCATACCTCTACAAAGAGAATACATGGATATGATACATATAAGATACTTTGAATCAAGAAAGGAAGTGTTAAGTCATTTATATTCTAAACATCCCTGAAATTTGTAAAATCCGCCGAACGTTAGAAAAAGATGCTAGCCACAACTTAAAACTGGAAGTTTAAAGCGACTAAGAAAATTGTGGTTGCGGTAGATATCACGGATTGTGCGGAAATTGTTGCCAGATCAGTTCAAGGCCAGCAAGAATAATTGTGTGAGGGTGGATTACACGGATTTGACGGAAACTTGTGTCATTTCATACTCCTTTTTTAAAATATTAACTATTGAAGAGAAGAATATGTCAATATATCATGTATTAGATACTTACAGTTAAAAAAGAAGTATTTTAAAATCATGTCTAAAAACAGGTACATAAGGCAGATTTAATGGCATTTGCGGACAAAACAACCCTCCATTTAGCGATTTACATAAGTGAACAAATTGTCATTGTCAACCTTTTTCTCACGATATAGCGCAATTAACAAATTTCGCACAAAGCAATCAATGCATTTGTTTCTTGAATTGATGCTCAATGACATCAATAAACAAGTTGAAATAAATATGAAATTCAACTTGGCCCGCTTCAAAAGTCATCGGCTGCTAATTGCTACCCATTATCACGGGAAAATAATGGAACCAATGTCTCATGGAGGCTACTAAACAACATCATCACCACTTGGTTCAATAGTTTGTGTTTCCCATTGTGATATACTTCACAGCTATGAAAAACAAGCTTAAACTTGACCTTGGATACTTCAAACCCTTTTCTGCAGTAATTAGGCTTCTTTGTTGCGATCAGAAAGCAACACCGGAAAATGATCCGCACTAATGTAGCATGGACATGTCAATTTGTTATCAAATCCTTTCATACTCTACTTGTATATCCCTTGGGGTAGTGGCAACACTGGAACTTGATTAAGAAGGTTACAACTGCGAACCCCCAATTAAACACTTCTGTATGTTTCCATTGACTTTGAAATTTATTCCTCGTGACTATCACATATTGATTTTCGTATAAAACCGGAGCCTGTTCTGGACAGAAATCATTCCCAACATGAACAAGACTAAGTATCCTTGTCGTCAGTTAAACAGCAAGGCCATACAAAGTGCAGCATTATGCTTTGTGAGTCCGATAATCGTTGGAAAGTGTAGTATTGTAAAAGCGCAATGCGTATGCAAAATCGACGAAGGAGGACTACAGAAAGCCTGGAATGACGTCTGTAGAACTAGAGACGCTTGTGATAAGGCCATTTGTGGTAAGAATCTTCTCTTTTCAATGTACTATGTTGCTTTTCGCGATTATAGAAGTTCTTTTTGCTTAAGAACGATGTTTATATCTCTTTCACAGGGGTGAGAAATGTAGCATTTTTCTTTGGAGCAATCAGTGCGCAAGGCCCCAAAAAAAGCCGAGGAAAAAAAGCAGCAACTTTGGAAGAGTACGAAAGCGAGGCAAGCAACGATGAAACATTGACATCAAGTCAAGTTGCAAGTACGGCCAGTCAAAACTGGATTACTGATTATCCGACCATCGTCAATGAAAAGTTATGCCCATGCATCAATTACTGGATAGCCTTAACGACGCCAAATGGTGCCCCGGCCAACCCCCTTGTAATCCACCGAGCGCTCTTTGAATGCGACGTGGAGACTGTGGCACAACAGGTATTAATTGTAAATGTTCAATTACACATCTTTTCTTCAGTGTATTTCATGAACCAATTTATACCATCATATTCGAGACTTGAGCTTTTTTTCTGTCCGTTTTTAATAACTTATCACTAAAAACCATTTGAAAACCAACGTAACAACATACACGGAGAAAACATCTTGAGAAAAGGGATATCCATCTCATGATAAAGTTGGAAAATTCGTAGTCATTATTCAATATTTACACACATTCAAAAATACAAAATAAGCAGACTCAAGTTTTTTAACAGTGCCACTGTTCTGTTCTGTTCTCAGGTACCCTGTTATGAAGGAAAAGAATCGGCGGCTATGAAAGAACTGTTCAGGGTATTGAAAGATCATAAAAACCAAATGATTCAGGAATTAGTGAACGCTTCGTACGGAAATTGCTTCCGGAATGAAATGGACAGCTTGCTGAGCGAAGAAGATTTTATGGACTCACAAGACTGTGGGACAGAGAAGGTGGCTAGAGTTTGGCTCACAAATTCGTGCTTCGGGTCTACTTTGAAACGTTCAATCACCAAGCTTCAAGATGCAAAGTTGCAGATCGATATGTTTGGCTTTCACGCGGACAATCCACAGAGTGGAGATGAAGAAACACGACTTTCGGATAAACTGACTGTGCTCGTGAACGACATAGGACTGGCAATGAAAAAGATGGAGTACGCCCTCTTTCGCGGAAAAATGTACAAGAAAGTTCCATCGGCCAAGTACACTTTCGCTTACAAATGCGAAGTTCGCGTTTTCATCAATAGCCTTGCAGCGAACGAGTTCTTTAAAGCACGACTGCTAAAGGACACGAGAAAGATAATCGACATCCTTTCCGACCCAGACTGCGAGGTGATACGTCCGATCTCCATCGACTACAATCTCATCGAGGTAGATGGTGGACACTGCTGGTCCATCAAAGAAAGGCGCTTTGTTAATAACCCTATTGCAGACGAGAAGATGGGCGTCATTTCACCGCGGGCGTTTACCAGGTACGATCCAGACAAAGAGCCCGACCCAAAATACTTCAAGGAGATTTTGGAGAACAGCCTCTCACAAGCGGAAATACGTGAATTTTGCGAGGATTTCCTCAAGCTGCTCAACTTCAACAAGAAATGCCACAAGGATAAAGTTCCCTGTCTAATTGGTGATGCAAACAGTGGCAAAACGAGCCTTTTCCATCCCATTCTCGGGATCGTGCACCACACAAATATTGCAACAATCACCAAGCAGAGGGTATTCAACAAGGCCATGATCTCGAAATCCACCGAAGTGATCTTTATTGACGAGGCTTCCACGTCAACTATGGACATTGACGATTGGAAGATCTTAACCCAGGGAGGCTACACCGCATGCGATGTGAAGTATCAAACAGCAAAGTCCTTCATCAATCGCTGCCCCATGTTCTTGACAGCACAAACCAAATTGCAGTTCAAACCTGAAGACCAGCCCGCGATGGATCGTAGACTTCGAAACTACAGCTTCAAAAGTCTCCCGGCTCCCAAGAAAAGCGCCACGGCATGGTTGCGAAGACATCCGATGGAGTGCATCGTGTGGGCTGCAGCGCAAGCCAGGGCATGCATGACATCAGATTCAGAGGACGAGCTAAGTGATGAGGAAAGCGCAGATGACGGAGTATTGGCAGCGACAGACAAGGAACAGATTCGCGCGTTGTGCATGGACGGGTACTGGACGAACGTGATGGTTCACCTGTCGGGTGAGTGTGCAGGGTGCAAACGGACGAGACTGAGGATGATTCGGACGCGAGTAGTCAGAATGACCAGACCATCAGTGCATTGAGACGAGTTATGGAGCAGTGCTCTCAGGCGTCCCTCCGACACCGCCAAGTTTCAGCCATGTTGCAAAGCGCGACTCAGCGAGCGAGACAGACAGAGGCAGGCAGAGGAAGCGGTGTACCGGCGCAGACAGGAAAATCTCTTGTCGAAAAGGAGTCGCACGCGAACATGTGGCCCTACTTCCAAGGGATACATCGGAACCCATGCCGACACAAATTGAAAATGATCTGACAGCCTTCAGGCAGCAGACTCTCAAGAAGACTTGAAGAGAAAGCGAGAAAGAGCACTTGCCGCCTTCCAAACACCCTGGCTACTAGAAATGGAGCAAGAACTACACAAGCTGACCAGGACCCTAGAGATGTCAGACATGAATCAGGAGAGAAGGACGTCTATGGAGGCCTATCGCGAGGTCTTGCAAGATAAGCTGAGGCAGTTTCACGAGAACTATGGTACGGCCGGTTGCCATTTCGCCCTGGAGCAACGAAAGCGATCATGCGTCACCCTGGGTCTCGAACTCTTAGCTAGAGTACTTAAGAAAGACCATACTATTAAAGGTATCCAAGTCGGTCAGAATGAAATTAAGATAACCCAATACGCAGACGATACCACCGTTTTGGTGCGAGATCTTGATTCTGTCACACAATTACTAAAACATTTAGACAAATTCAAGCAGATCAGTGGTCTCGAAATTAACACAAACAAAACCGAATCGTTGTGGTTAGGATGTTGGAGGTCGCGCAAAGACAAGCCGTTTGGTTTTAAATGGCCCCAAGAACCAGTCTATGCCCTTGGTATACACTTTTCCTATGACTTAAAGCAAGCCAACACCCTTAATTTTGAAGAAAAGATTTGTTCTTTAGAAAAAACACTCAACAACTGGAAAAAAAGAAAGCTAACTTTAATTGGCAGAATCAATATTGTGAAGACGTTAGGTTTGTCGAAACTCATATATTGCAGTTCGTTACTGACCGTATCTAAATCCCTTATAGACAGAATTAATAAGATTATTTTCGGCTTCATTTGGGAGGGTAAGCCTCCCAAAATTAAGAAAAAGACTATCATTGGTGAAAAACACTGTGGGGGCCTAAAAATGATTGATTTTGAAATCATGGAGCGGTCGCTAAAGATTGCTTGGATAAAGCGTATTGCTGAATCAAGTAATGCTTCGTGGAAAAAAATCCCAAATCAAGCTCTTAACCAATACGGAGGTCTAGAGTTCCTCATCGAATGCGACTACGATCCTAAGCTACTCAACTTAGAGAACCTTCCGGAGTTTTACCACACCATTTTAAATTACTGGCATGACTTCAGAAGACTAACCTGTGACAAGCAAATTTCCATAAAAAAACAAATAATTTGGAATAACCGTAACATATGTATTGATGGAAAACCAATTTATATTAAATCCTGGTGTACAAGTGGAATTCGTTGCATCGAAGACCTTCTAAATGTTAACCTTAAATTTCTTACCTTATCAGAAATGAAAGAGAAATATAACTTTGAATTTCCTTTTACCACTTATTACGGCCTTTTAAGAGCCATACCAACTGAATGGAAAAGTGCACTACGAGTCAAAGCAGGCGTGCATGATGAATCTGAAAAGCGCGAAACATCCTTGAAGCTTTTTTCCACAAAAGAAGCCTATTCTTCCATACTTGATAAAAGCTTCTCAGCACCCACTGCTGAAGGCAGAATTCTAGATCATGGGTTCACCAAAGAGGAAATTCCTTACATCTACATGCTCCCGTTTAAAATCTTGAAAGAACCAAAACTGATCATGTTCCAAGTCAAAATTATTCACAACATTTTACCTACCCAATCTAGCCTCTTCCGCGCGCGCATAACTGATACTGATGTTTGTCCTTTATGCAACCTTGAAAGTCAATCTCTAAAACATATGTTAATTACCTGTAGTGTATCCTCTTCGTTTTGGACTTGTTTTTCTAACTGGTGGCACGAAAAATTTAAACAAAAACTGACTTTATCTGAAAGCACTATTCTATATGGTTGGCACAAAGAGTCAAATAACTGGGAAGTGCTTAATTACTGTTTGATTGTCGCCAAATATAATGTTTTTGCTACAAGCGTACGCAACGGCGTCCTGGACTTTGACAGTTTTCTACTGCGTCTCAACAACAAAATTGATATTCTTCGCACAATATCTTTTAGATCTAACTGCTTATCGCAATTCAAAAAAACATGGGACAAACTTCTTTGGATACGTGAATGCTAGTGTCATTTCCTTCAAGCTACACTTTACTGCTATACTGTTTCACTTATCAGGTTTGCGTCTTTTTCCTTTGAATTTAGTTTGTTTGTTTTTTTTTTTCGTTACAAATTTAGTTTGTTTTTTGCCATATAGATATATATATTTTCATAGTTAAAATAACAAGTATTTGTAATTAATTTTTTTTCTTGTCAAAAAAAAAAAAAAAAAAAAAAAAAAAAAAGAAGAACTAAAAAGAGTTAAAGAAGGTGGTCTTAGTTAATTCACCCGTGGATTATCATCTATGTGCCTAAATGAGTTTACTGCCAACTTGAGTGACAACATCTGGAATGGAAAGCACCTGGCAAAATTCAAACTAAATTTGCCAAGTAAACCCACAGGTTTGATTATTTACGAACATTATTGAGTCGCTTCACAACACGGCAGGCTTTGACAGGTGTCTGTCTATTATTTTAGAGGAATAAATGTTTTAAATTGATGAGTTTGTTTTGAGCAGTAACTTTTCGGTCGTTTCTTCAGAGCGAATTTCAGAAAAAAAGTTTGAAAGCCACGCTCTAAATGTGAGTTTTGAATGAATGAGAAAATGCACTTTGCGTCTTGCTGGATTGTTTCTTTTGCATAATCACTCCTGGTCTTCTTTTTGCCCAAAAAGAAATAACATAAGGAGAGGATTAATTAAAAGGCAAGGCAAGACAAAACAGGGGAAAAACAGCGGAGATCAAAGCCAATTAACGAAGTACATGTTTGAATAGCTTTGAATAATGGTGGCTTTCAGTTGGCGGTAATTAAAGTTAATTTGCCTTCTGCTTTTACATTTTTAATTTTAGCGTACGTTCTTATGAATATAAATGGAATTTCGAGGCAGATGTTAAATCACTGAAGCCTGACAAATCATAAAGCTTTCAAACCAATCACTGAACTCTTTAAATCGAGTCTCACGTTGTACTGTTCTTCAAATAATGAGGTTTTATTCGGTGAACATCTGAAGTGCCGATGGTTAAAAAAAAAACAGTAACAACAACAGCAACAACAAAACGAGCAGTGCTTCGATCCATAGCTTTCAAGTCTGCAGCTGTTCATATAACAAGTTAATTGCCTTGGTCACATCTAGTTTTTCTATTAAGCGATTAAGTAAGTAAGTAAGTAAGTAAGTAACTCTTTTTATTCAGGGTAGGGGCCCTGAGAAATAAAAAGGTATACTATTTAAAAATTCCTAGGGTATATACATGATTAAAGTAAACGATAATACTGTAAAAAATCTAGTTAGGTTAATATAAAAAGTGTTTGCTAAGAGATAAGAAATTAAAATTATAAGGTAAAATACTCGGTCAGCACTTTTTAAGACTATTTACAGACGTGGCACATTTAACATAATTGGGTAAAGAATTGAAATAAATTCCCTCTGCTTACTTAAAGGGGCTGTGTCACGGCAGTGCAGATCATTTTGTTAAATTTTGCCAATTACTCGCCCTCAATCGCTATGGAACTTAAAGTAAGCAAAGAAATTACATGTAAATGACAAAGTCAGAGATTCGAGACAAACAAATATGTCTTCTGAGCACTATTTTTGAAGTTGCAAACAGCAGAGATAAACTTTGAAAAACTGTTAGGCTGAACAGTTTTCAAAAACCCTAGTTTCAATCCGTTTCAATCCTCTTCCATTTTGCCCATCCGTGGCATCTGTTGTATCTGCTGTGTTATTTCAATCTTCCCTTAACCCTTTGACTGCCAGAGTGTTTGATGGAGTTTTGTAAGGTGACTCTAACTTTTGAGTCTGTGGACGAAATCCTATGATGTGACCATTCAAATCAAAGCTCTCTGCCTGTACTTTAACATGGTGCTATTTGTTTGTCAAAATTTTAGAAAATGAAATTTGGAAATTTGGTCAAAATTTGCCTTTGGCCACATTTTGCAGTGAAAGGATTAACGTTTTAAGCGGTTTTTATCTTTCTCTTGGATTTAACGGGCATTTTGTAATACCTAATTTGGCTGAATTTCGTGACACAGCTCCTTTAGAAGTTCGTTTGCCCATGTTACGTTTAGGCTTTGGTGGGTGCAGGTCGTTGCTTCTCCTAGTTGCATGATCGTACAAATCCGCATTCCTCGTAAAATATTGCGTAAAATACTTGGGTACTAGATTATTTAAACACTTAAAAACTGGAATGCATTTATGCATTTTTCTTCTGGAAGCTAGATTTAACCAGTTTAGCACACAGAAAGCGTGATTTGAGTGTTCTTCCGTAATATAATTCGAGCTGCACTGTTCTGTAGGCGGTGTAACTCTTTGCAACACCCCTCTGAAATTTTCCCCCACGCAACATCAGCATAGTCTAATAACGGCTGCAAGAGTGAAGTGTATACCTCTTTAGAGGCTTCCCGCGTGAGGCATGATCGTATACGAGACCAAAGCCTTAGCCTCCTACTGACGTTGCTGCTTACATTCTCGACGTGATCTTTCCAAGAAAGGTTCTCATCTAAAACAACACCTAAATAGCTAAATTTAGCTACTCTTTCTAAAGTCTTTCCGTATAACTGTATACAAAAAATTTGGTGATTTGGCAAGATTCTGCCAACTTCCAAAGAGCATTGATTTTGTTTTACTCTGATTAAGGATAAGCCTGGTACTTTCCATCCATTGCACAACTCGTTTCAAATCATCCTGTACTATCCTAGCTATCTCCAGGTGCCAAGATTCGTAAAATACATTACAGTATCATCGGCGTACATATTAATAGAACAGTTTTCTAAACACTGGGTCAGGTTATTAATGTATAAAACAAAAAGCAGAGGCCCCAAAATTGAACCCTGAGGGACGCCAAAACAGATGGCTCGTGTTGAGGACATGTCATTTCCAAATTGCATTCTTTGAGTTAGTGTGGTAAGATAGTTCCGGAACCAGTCCAGACTACTTCCTCTGACTCCGTAATTAACCAAAGATGCTTTTTTCTTTGGAAATTCGTGCCGAGCAACTTCGTTGTAAAATGATTTACTTTCTGCTCCGAACGAGCTCGAGTAATGAACGTGGCTAAAACACCACTGTTTGCACTCTGGTGGGGGTGGGGGAGAGTGGATCGGATGGGTACTATTGAGTGTACCGCTAGGTCCCTGGACCCCTCGGCCAATACCAGGCCATGATCACTAGCAATATTGCTTTCCAATCCGCGTTCAGTTGCCAAGTTCCTGCTGTATCCTAGACTAATTACAAAGCAGAAACATCATCATCATCGTCGTCGTCGTCATCATCATTAGGGACTTTAAGATCCAAAGACGCGACGGGGACAAGAACGTCGCTTAAAAAGTGATTTTGCGTTCTTTCAGTTTTTATAGCGATTATTCCTACCCACTTACTTTGTCAATTGTAGACGAACCCTCCTGAAGCGGACCATAGCCAACCTCGGAAAGAGAAATAAAATTTCGCCGTTGCTTGTTTACGTCCTCCATAAAGCGCGAAATTAGGCATTTTCACTTCGTAGTCGTGCAAAAACGGGAAAGAAATGTACAAAAAAGTGTGGTGCACCTGCGAAGTAGTTTTTTGCCTATTAAGCCTATTGTTTTTTTTACGTTCTCGTTGTCGTCCGTGTCGTTGGATCTTAAAGTCCCTATTGTCATCAACATCGTCGTCATCATCCACACAGTGTCATCATCATCACCATCATCCTCATTCTCATCATCTAACCTCCAATAGCTACTCTTTTTTGTTTTTCTTTTATTTTGTTTTCCAGGATGCTGTTGCAGACCAAATTTTTGAGCTTCTCCTGGAGTACTTTTCCATTCACGCGCACTCTATAGCATTTCCTGAAGTGGCACTTCCTGCTGTTGTCAGAGTAAGTATTACCTAATAAGCAAACTGACTGTGAACTGACTGTGAGCCAGCTTAAGAAGCGCCCACGATCGATCATCAAGGGCATGTGACGTAAAGGTGCGGATGTGGCTTTTGACGGACCGATAGATAACACTCAGGGTGATTGTTTATGACATAAACATAGGAACCATGTTCGACAATTGTTTGTGATGGGCGCCTGACATGTACGCGCGGGATGTATTATAATGGCCGTGTGACAGACATACATGGGTGGAAAGGGCTTATGAGTCATTTACTTTAGCAGGCACGAATATACCGTTGGTGTTAAAGTCTTTTTTTTGTCTTTCCTAATTCCTGATATTTCCCTGCGAATGACAGCGAGGCGCTTTATCAAACCATCCGCACTGGTTATTTCGCCCCAGGCATTTCGAGAACGGAGCTCTGGAGCCAGGGTAGCGCGAATAACTGGTGAGATATGCTAGAATTTGCACGTCCAGAGTTGATTTCATAAATAGACTACAAGGACTTTCATTACGTCTCAGACAACAAAGCTTTGAAACCAATCTCCTTCAGAAATCATTTAATAAAGTATGGTGCAGCCCTGCGGGAGATGATATTAGCAATCCAGGCTTGAATTGCACCACCGCACCCTTACATCACTTATTTATTACTGATAGATTTGTATTTCAGGTGTATCTTGGTACGTATGCCCGCACAGTTTTATTTTGTGCGCGTGCGTTATTTTTTTATTCATTTAATTGACGTGCACATTTAGTTCGTTAAATAACGTCTTAATTTTACTGTGCCTTATTTTTTCTCACTTATATGTGTTGTCCGTGACTGTCCTCTCGTTGTAGGTGGCTCCTCCTAAAATGTTCTAAAATTGGAATCGGATTTAAAGGAGCTGTGTCACGAAATTCAGCCAAATTAGGAAATTACGAAATGCCCGTTAAGAGAAACATAAAAAAAACCGCTTAAAACTTTAAAGGAAGGTTTGAATAACATAGCAGAAACAACAGATGCTACGGATGGGCAAAACTGAAGAAGATTGAAACGGACTGAAATTAGGGTTTTTGAAAACTGTTCAGCCTAACAGTTTTTCAAAGTTGATCCCTGCTGCTTGCAATTTCAAACATAATGCTCAGGAGAAATATTTGTTTGTCTCGGATCTCTGATTTTGTCATTTACATGTAGTTTCTTTGCTTACTTTAAGTTCCATAGCGATTGAGGGCGAGTAATTGGCAAATTAAACAAAATGAACTGGACTGCTGTGCCACAGCCCCTTTAATGGAGCTGAACCCAATTGCACACATTTTAGGCATCCTATTGATGAACAATTACGACACGTAGATATATTTTTTAGCAACTACTATAATTTATAGTCCACCAAGTTTACACGTGAAATGTTCTTTTGTAACAGGCTAGTGTGAAAAGTAATGGTAATTGATGGCAGGGCTGCAAATAACGGCCGGTCAACGGACAATGTCCGGCCTGATCACGGACTTGACCGGTCAAACTCCGGTCTTGCCGGTCATTTTGACCGGTCATTTCTGGATACAAACACTTTATTTTCCATACAGTTGTCGCTTAATGCTCTATAACGCTGCAATGATTTCCTTTTTCTTTGGCGTTTTTTGCTGCTTTGCACTAAACCCTTCTAAGAAAAGAACGCCGCAATAAATTAATTTCATGTGTTTCTCCGGGAATAAATGTTAGCGCATAGATTAACAATAATTTCTTTTATGTCGAACATGAATCTCGTTTGCAGACTCGATTCCAGAATGGTCTGATAAAAATTTAAACTACTCAAGAGGGAAGGTCGTCGTCTATCGCGGCGCTAGATTCTCGTTCTTGTAAACAACTTTATGCAAATTTCTGTTGACATTTGAGCCCTTCGCGATAAAATGTTGCGCGATGACCCAAATTTATTTATTGACTTCTGATCATCAACACGCTGTTTGTGGAACAAACTTCTCGCCAATGCAAATCAACTTCTTTGCCGAAAATATCAGCGACGATTCTTCTTTGAAGAAGTGACTTTCGATCACGTGCCAGGCAAGGAAAAAGATCAAGTTTCACCGATGTTCATTTCGGAACATCAACGTAAAACAAGCGTGTGCAGATTTTGTAAAATAACCCCATTTTTTTTTTTTTTTTTTTTTTTCGTAATTTCTAAAGTTTGCTGAACTGTATGTGTATTCCGTTTCCTGAACCTTGGGAGTTTGAAAAGGATTTACGCTTCACTTTTTACCTCTAGAGACTTGCAATGATACTCGAGGTAGAACGTAACATTAAAACGCCCGAAAACCGCGGAAAGGAACTCTACAACGTGCGAATGCATTTTTCACTAATTTGCCGTCAAAAATGTGAACGTCAATGTAGTAATAACGATCTATTGCCAGCATAATTGGATATTCCTGAGGCAAAAAAAAATTATTAGTATTCATTATTTGACCGGCCAGAATCGGGGTTTGTCCGGGTTAAAAAATATTTGGCCGGTCATCATGACCGGCAACCTGTTGTCCGTTATTTGCAGCCCTGTGATGGGCGTATAACTCGCAGATGGGGCGGACAAGGGTACCGACACCCACATTAGAGACCTTAAGATTGCAGTTTGGCCATGTTATTGCAAGCGGCAAACTATGGTTTGCGGTTTACGGTTTTATGTTACCCGTCTACTCATGTTTGGGACTTATGATTCGCGCGTGGTAGCTCGCGGCTGCCATGTTTGTTTTTATTCATCCATTCACTTCCAATCTAGCTGAGAAATTGTCAACAAATTCACGTTTCTATGGAAGAGAATTCGATAATTAATAAGCGAAAGAGTTCTAAAAAGTAGTTTTTCCCCTCATACGTGAGATTGGGATGTTTTAGGGTGCAAAAAAAACATGCAGTAAAATCACTTACCTGACACTCGAACGTGATCTAGCCGTACAAACGTGAACCTCAAACTGCAAACCTGACGGCAAGGTTCTAGTTACGTGACTTCTTGACGTTCGCGGTTCGCGGGAAATGCCGAAAAACCTCGATCTTAAGGTCTCTATTTTCTAGAGTTCACCCCTCATCGGTCACGAGTTCTCGTCATTAAAGGTGCGGTCAAGTATTAACGGCGGCGCCCGATGTAAAAATCTATTTATTTTGCCATTATACTTGATTCAATTTTTATATACAGCTAAGGAAATTCATCAAGACTACAAACGCTGCAAGATATCGCAAGCAGATGAAACAGCTTGTTGATAAGGTACGTTCCGGTTCCTCTGCTTTTAAACGCTATATGAATGAAAATCGTAACGAAGCTGCTCATTTGCTTGTATTTTTTTTGGCCTTTAATAGATTGAAGAAACTTCTACTGAAGTAACAAATCGGCGATCAAACGTTTCCTTCAGTCCCAAAGACATTGCTGAAGTTGTGAGTAGTGATTCAACAGATTTTTTTTTCCTGTATTTCCAATTATATTTCAAACTGTAGTAGTTTCTTAGCCGTTGCCGCTCTTGAAAACGAGGGAATAAAGATTGAGCAGAACTCCATAAAACCAAAACTGAAACTCTAACCGACCTTTCCTCATGGACAAGAAAGGCACCAATGCAGTAATGCTATCGGTTTGATAAACCTGCATGTGTGATTTATTGTTGGGTATGTTGTGGTTCAAATTTATCCTTGGTTTAAATCTTATTTTCTTTTGTTTTTGGATATGGTAATGTATGTAATTATTCGTTCAAAATATTTCTCCGATTCTGATTGGCTAAAAGCACTTGCACAATTCACCATAGCCAGCCACTGATGACCAAATTTGGAAGAATTTTGCGTTTAATGAACCGATGACGTCAAAAGTGCAGCTTTCTCCAGGTTAATGGAGCGTTAACCAAGAACATTAGGGGACGAGGTTGAGTTGTTTTGGTTGTGAAAACAAAAATGGCGGACAATAAACTCGTTGCAAGGGTAAGAACTAGGCGAAATAAAAGCGAAAAATATGGTAAGAACAGCAAGAAGACAACTCGAAGAGTGACATCTGCTATTTGGAGAATATTTGCGGAGCTGAACACACCTAAACGTGCACTATCGAAGACGAACTTAACCTCGATGGATCGATGGGGCTAAGCATCTTTTAGCCATGTTTTTAAACTAGGAATTATCGGCTTTCGTATCATATGACGAATTATGGAGATCTTGTGGAGGCCTACGGCCTCGACAGATAACACCCTTCTCGATCTCCATAATTCTTCATAAGGTACTTATCCTCATTCATTGATTGTTAAATAATGACTTTAAAAAAAAAAAAAAAGAAAATTACAATTTCAACCAAGGATAAAAGTGATCCACAACAGATACGTTAGTTTACCAACTCAAGGCATTTACGGGCCATTATCACATTTCGACGGTACTATGGGTAACGCGGGTACTATGTAAGTAGAATTTGACTTCCCGTTGTGTATTCTGGCGTTTTTGGACTGCCAGCCACTCGGTATGTAATTTTTATCTCGTTCCTCGAGCGGTATTGCTAGCTTTTCATTGCAACGGTTGCACGAAAAAACATGCAACGTGTGTTGAGCGCAGGAAAATGAAAAAAGGTGGTTGTGTGTGTGTGTGTGCGAGGGAGGGGGGTTGGATTATTAGAGAGCTTTAGATTTGAGGACGAAAACGAGTACGAGGACGAGACTTAACTTAACGTTTTGCTCGTGTTCTCAAAAAAAGACACCCCTTTATTTTACTTTTTTCATCAAAAACGTTAGTACGGTTATTTATAGTGAAGGAGGTTAAGCCCTCTCCCGATAGCAAAATGATAAAACTTCTTACATTTGATAACTTGTTCACGCCGTTTCTTGCCACTACGACATTCTCGAAAAAACTCGAAGTAGAAAGACGACGGCTATTGCGTTTTCCCGCCAAAATGATGCTGGTTCACGCGTGAGCAATACTGTCTCAGTAGTCGTACTCGTAGTCGTCCTCATCTCAGAATTTAAAGGTGATATTACACGGGACGATTCGCAACGACCATTTTTAGTGCAACACAGCGTTGCAATGTTGGGACAATGTTGTAACCATTCGAAGCAATGTCGAAACAATGTTGCAACCCTTTGTTGCGCTAAAAATCGTCGTTGCGGGTCGTCTCGTGTAACATTACCTTAAAGCTCTCTATTATTGCGGGAAAACAACAACTGGTACCATAGGTGGGTGGGTGGGTAAATGTCGACTGGTCTATAGGGGGATATTACATTCAGGTAGTTCAGAGTGCTTCGCCATCCCCTCTTGACTGCATCTGGTGCCGGGTGCTAAAACACATACATCTTTTGCAAAACGTGGAATAGCCTGTTCTAGGCTCCGAGATAATCGGGTTCGCTGAATTGAGAAAGCGCAAACACGAAAACTTGGGGAGAGGAGTTCGCGTGCCTTTCACTTTCGCGTCTTCCTCACTATCTGAGAGCGTGGAACAGGCTAAACGCGGAAAGCCCTGGAAATCGTAAGTAGCGAAGGCAAATGGTCAGATGACCCCCGGTCTGACGTAAGGAAACTGGATTTTTGAGTGTGGGAAAGACGACTAAAACTACGGTATATGATTGGGTTTATTTTATGTTTGTTCTGCTTTGTGTTATTGACAGTTTCTTTTATTGTTTGATTATTTTTCAACATGCAGGAAAAATGGACGGCTCAGTATAGACAAAATCCAAATGCTATAGTGAAATTCTATAACACCTGGAAGGCCTTGAAACCAACCGTCCAGCCAGAGGTAAAGTGCTTGTTATTGACTGTTAAAGCAACAACAACAGCGACGAACGTAGATAATGATAGCCTGCGGGATTAGTAGGTGGGGGAACGGGGGGAGCCGTAAGAAGATAGGGACAAAATCTCGAAAATCCTCCTGGAAAGTAGTAGTAAGAGAGCTTTAAAAAGTCATATCTATTTATCTATCCATCCATCCATCCATCCCTCCCTCATGATAAATCGAATTCATTTCAGTATAAACTAAAGGGGGGCTTATAATGGGATGTTTTTTTTGCGGGGGTTTATTAGAACACGGGATTATAACTTGGGCGGGAGGGGGGCTTGTAAGTTATGGGGCTTTATAAGCGGTAGTTTACATTAATACTGAACATTTTTCCTAGAATGAAGCAGAAGAAGAAAACAACGAAAACATGAGCGAAGACGAAAAAGAAACTCCTTCAAAGAGAAAACGTAAACAACAAGGCAGTTCTGAGCACGAGAACGAAAAACCGAAAGGAACAGCGAAGAAACTCAAAAAGACTGCAAAGAAAACTGGCCCTGGAAAAACCCTTTCTCAAACGGCGAAGAACCCTGGAGACGGAGATGAGGAGGATGTTGTGCAAGACTTTCAATTTTCTTCCGACGAGGACTAAAATGGAAATCTCCCTTATACGAAGCGGCTAACGTAGATACTGGACGAACTCGCCCAGAAGTTTAGTCATCAACATAGGCGACTGTTGTCGCGAGACTCAAGACCTTTTGGCAGCCTCTTTCTCCTTCCGCCTCTCCTTTGTGACTATTGGTTTTCCCATCATTTCGCTGGTGCAAAGAAGGTACAAATATACCACGCATTTTCTATACCAGGTGAAAAAGCCCAGACATGACCGAGGGGGCAAATAACGCAAACTGGACCGCGAAAGCCACACCCATTCCTGTTTAGTAATTTTATCGTTACGACAAGTGAAAACGCGAAATAAAGAAGCATTTGTTCAAGTTTCAGTGTATTAAGCAGGAAGGTACTAATTAATAGACTGTTCACGGTTCTCTTATTTTTTTCCTTGAGATCGCCCAGATCGAGTGCTTTGCGTTACGGGCAGCCATCTAGAAACCAACTAAGAAAAGAAGTTGTCAGCATGTACTAGTAAGCGCTCGATCCTGATGATCTTTAAAAAAATAGGGAGCTGTGAACAGTCTACTCATATAGGACACTAGTTTTACGTCTTCTAATTGGATTTTTCCAAAGGGGGTAACCCACGATTTTATGTCAAAAATTGAATTTCTTTTCGTCGGGCTTCTTTGTGTGAGAAGGATAATAAAATATGTTTGACGATAGATTATACTTCTAACTAGACCGAAAAGAGCAATTAAAAACAGTTAGACGTTTGGGATGGCCAAATTAAAATTTTACAAAGTGGCAAACCCACGATCTTGGGTCAAAATGTGAAATTCTTTTTTTCGGGATTTTGTGTGTAAAAAATAAAAGGAAAATATGTTTGAAGATGGTTTAGATTGCTTAAAAGACTGAAAAAGGAATTTGTTGTTAGGGATAGCAATATTAGACTTTTCCAAATTGTTTAACCCACGATTTTGGGTTGAAAATTGAATTTCTAAAAAGTGGAAACAAATTGTAATTTTCCTAAGGAGATAATCCCTGGTTTTTGTCAAAAAATAGAATTTTTGTTAGGTTTTTTTTTGGGAGAAATCGACTCACACAAGTTTGTTTTCTGGTATTCTAAGAAGCAAAAAAAATACATTTTAGAAAAAAAAAATCGGAGTTTTAATTTTCCTAAGGGGTTAGTCCATGGCTCTTGTCGAAAAATGGAACTTTTTGTCATTAGTGTATTTTGCGGACATTATGTCAAATACGATCGTTTTTTTATTTCATGGATAGAAAAGAATGATTTTTAGACCAGAAAATTGAACTTTAAAAAAGTGCCAAAAAAATCGACATTTTCCTAAGGAGATAATCAATCGTTTTTGTCCAAAAATCGAACTTTTTCTCATGTGTGTTTTTTGAAAAATCAAGTCAGAAAAGATCATTTTTTTATATTCCGGAAAGGAAAAAATGCGTTTATAGACCAAGAAATTGAAGTTTTAAAAAATACCAAAAATCGTCATTTTCCTAAGGCCAGATTAGTCCATGGTTTTTGTCCAAAATTCAAACTTTTTCTCATAAGTGTTTTTAAAGAATTATGTTCAAAAAGATCGTTTCTTGATATTCTGGATAAAAAAGAATAACTTTTAGACCAGAAAACTAAAAAATGAAAATTTTCCTAGGGGGATAATCCATGGTTTTTGTCCAAAAATCGAACTTTTTCTTATTTGTGTTTTTTGGAGAAATCAAGTCAGAAAATATTGTTTTTTGATATACTACATAAAAAAAGAATAATTTTTAGACCAGAAAATTGAAGTTTTAAAAGGCTTAAAAAATCGACATTTTCCAAAAGGGTTAGTCCAAAAATCGTTTTTTTTTTCTCTCATCTCTGTTTTTGTTGCACAAATTATGTCAGAAAAGATCGTTTTTTGATATTCTGAATAAAAAAGAATCAGTTTTCGACCAGCAATTGAAGTTTCAAAAAGTCCAAAAAGTCCACATTATCCAAAGGGGATAATCCATGGTTTTTGTTCAAAAATCGAACTTTTCTCATTTATTTTTTTTTTGGAGAAAACAACTCAGTAAAGACCTTTTTTTTGATATTTTGGATAGAAAAAAAATGATTTTTAGACCAGAAAATTAAAGATGTAAAAAGTGCAAAAAACGACATTTTCCTAAAAGGTTAGTCAACGTTTCTTTTATATTTTTGAAAGAAAAGAACAATTTTTAGACAAGGAAACTAAAGTTCAAAAATGTGCCAAAAACGACATTTTTCTAAGGGGTTATTCCATGGTTTTTTGTCCAAAAATCAAACCTCTTTTCATTTGGGTTTTTTGGAATAATCAAGTCAGAAAAGATGGTTTTTTGATATTTTGGATAGACAAAAATGATTTTTAGACCAGAAAAGTAAACGTTTTAAAAAGTGCCAGAAAATAGACATTTTCCTAAGGGGATAATCCATGGTTTTTGTTCAAAAATCGAACTTCTTTTCATCTGTTTTTTTTGGTATAATCAAGTCAGAAAAGATGGTTTTCATATTTTGGATAGAAAAGAACGATTTTTAGACCAGAAAATTAACGTTTTAAAAAGTGCCAAAAAAAACACATTTTCCTAAGGGGATAATCCATCGTTTTTGTCCAAAAATCGAAATTTTTGTTATTTGTGTTTTTTGGGGAAATCAAGTCAGAAAATATTGTTTTTTGATATTATGGATAAAAAAAAAAATGATTTTTACACCAGAAAAATAAGGTTTTTAAAAGTGCAAACATCGAGATTTGCCAAACGGGATAATCCACGGTTTTTGTCCAAAAGTCAAACTTTTTCTTATCTATTTTTTTGGATAAAACAAATTAGTAAAGATCATTTTTTGATCTTTTGGATAGAAAAGAATGATTTTTATACCAGAAAATTGAAGTTCTATAAAGTGCAAAAAACAACATTTTTCTGAGGGGTTAGTCCATGGGTTTTGTCCAAAAATCGAACTTTTTTCATTTGGGTTTTTTTGGTGTAATCAAGTCAGAAAAAAACGTTTTTTTCTATATTCTTGATAGAACAGAATGATTTTACACCAGAAAATTAATGTTTTAAAAGGTGCTAAAAAAATAGACATTTTCCTAAGGGGATCATTCATGGTTTTTTTGTTCAAAAATCGAAGTTCTTTTCATTTGCGGTTTTTGGTATAATCATGTCGGAAAAGATGGTTTTTTGATACTTTGGATAGAAAAGAATGATTTTTAGACTAAAAAGGTAACGTTGTATGGACCGCCAAAAAATCGATCTTTTCCTAAAAAATTAATGCATGGTTTTTGCCCAAAATTCAAACTTTTTCTCATTAGTGTTTTTGAAGGAATTATGTTCGAAAAGATCGTTTCTTGGTATTCTGAATAAAAAAGAATAAATTTTAGACCAGAAAACTAAAGTTTTAAAGGGTAAAAAAAAGTGGACATTTTCCTGAGGGGATAATCCATGGTTTTTGTCCAAAAATCGAATTTCTTCTTATTTGTGTTGTTTGGAGAAATGAAGGCAGAAAATATTGTTTTTTGATATTATGGATAAAAAAGAATGATTTTTAGACCAGAAAAATAAAGTTTTAAAAAGTGCAAAACAGCGAGACTTGCCAAAGGGGATAATCCACGGTTTTTGTCCAAATATCATACTTTTTCTTATTTATTTTTTTTGGATAAAACAAGTCGGTAAAGATCATCTTTTGATCGTTTGGGTAGAAAGGAATGATTTTTAGACCAGAAAATTGAAGTTCTATAAAGTGACAAAAACAACATTTTTCGGAGGGGTTAGTCCATGGTTTTTGTCCAAAAATCGAACTTTTTTCATGACGTTTTTTTCTATATTCTTGATAGAACAGAATGATTTTACACCAGAAAATTAATGTTTTAAAAGGTGCTAAAAAAATAGACATTTTCCTAAGGGGATAATCCATGGTTTTTGTGCAAAAATCGAATTTCTTTTCATTTGGGTTTTTTGCTATAATCAAGTCAGAAAAGATAGTTTTTTGATATTTTAGATAGAAAAGAATGATTTTTAGACCACAAAATTAACGTTTTAACAACTGCCCAAAAATAGACATTTTCCTAAGGGGATCATTCATGGTTTTTTTGTTCAAAAATCGAAGTTCTTTTCATTTGGGGTTTTTGGTATAATCATGTCGGAAAAGATGGTTTTTTGATATTTTGGATAGAAAAGAATGAGTTTTATACCAAAAAGGTAACGTTGTATGGACCGCCAAAAAATCGATCTTTTCCTAAAAAATTAATGCATGGTTTTTGCCCAAAATTCAAACTTTTTCTCATTAGTGTTTTTGAAGGAATTATGTTCGAAAAGATCGTTTCTAGGTATTCTGAATAAAAAAGAATAAATTTTAGACCAGAAAACTAAAGTTTTAAAAGGTAAAAAAAAATGGACATTTTCCTAACGGGATAATCCATGGTTTTTGTCCAAAAATCGAATTTCTTCTTATTTGTGTTGTTTGGAGAAATGAAGTCAGAAAATATTGTTCTTTTTTATTATGGATAAAAAAGAATGATTCTTACTCCAGAAAAATAAAGTTTTAAAAAATGCAAAACAGCGAGATTTGCCAAAGGGGATAATCCACGGTTTTTGTCCAAGAATCATACTTTTTCTTATTTATTTTTTTTGGATAAAACAAGTCGGTAAAGATCATCTTTTGATCGTTTGGATAAAAAGGAATTATTTTAAGACGAGAAAATTGAAGTTCTATGAAGTACCAAAAACAACATTTTTCTGAGAGGTTAGTCCATGGTTTTTGTCCAAAAATCGAACTTTTTTCATTTGGGTTTTTTTGGTGTAACCAAGTCAGAAAAAAACTTTTTTTTTAATATTCTAGATAGAAAAGAATGGTTTTAGACAAAGAAATTAATGTTTTAAAAGGTGCCAAAGAATAGACATTTTCCTAAGGGAAAAGTCCATGGTTTTTGTCCAAAAATCGAATTTCTTTTTATTTGGGCTTTTTGGTATATTCAAGTCAGAAAAGATGGTTGTTTTTATATTTTGGATAGAAAAGAAAATTTTAAACCGGAAAATTAACGTTTTAAAAAGTGCCAAAAGATAGACATTATCGTAAGGGGATAATCGATTGGTTTTATTCAAAAATCGAACTTCTTTTCATTTGGCTTTTTTGGTATAATCAAGTGAGAAAAAAAATGGTTTTTGATATTTTTGATAGAAAAGAATGACTTTTACACCAAAAAGGTAACGTTCTGAGGAGCGCCAAAAATCGACCTTTTTGCTAGAAGGTTAGTCCATGGTTTTTGCCCAAAATTCAAACTTTTTCTCAT